TGTTTGGAAGAATTTGCTTTGAGAAGAGAGCCCTGCTAACTTGGGGTGAGCTAAAACACATGTTCAGCCATCCAGGCACTCAGAAGCTGCTGCAGCCCTGGTCTAAGAGGGTCCCGCTACTGCTCAAGATGGTGGCAGACCTTGGCATCATCCACGTGGTGCTAGTGTTGCTGGCATGCAGAATGCAAGAGTTGTGGAGTTATGGAGGAGTCTACCCAATTTTAAACAAAGGCCAGGAAGGCCAGCACAGTGTGTCAGAATTATAGTCCCTTTTGGGATCCACTAGAGGGCAATGTATGAGGTTCTGAGAGTGAAGATGAAGTTGCAATAAAGATCTCAGGAAGTTAGAGATGCCAGGAACGTTGAACATCTACCATGGAAAGTTTCAGGCAGCACATGGAGCTGGCCCAAGAGGCCATGTGGCCTGCAACCAGCACAGTCATGGGGTAGGGCTGCCCAAGCTCTATGGAGCCCACATGGTACAAGCACGAGGTCCTGAGTTTGATCCCAGGTACCGAAAAAAGAAACAAAAAAACCCAATGCTAAAATTCCATCTCACTCCAGAAAGAATGGCTGCTGTCAAGAAATCAACCTAATAACAAACACTGCTGGGGCTGTCAGGAGAAAGAAATGCTTCTCCATTGTTGGTGGGAGTGTAGACTGGTGCAAGCACTGTGGAAATCAGTGTGGAGATTTTTCAAAAACTAAAACTAGAGATTCCATTTGACCCAGCTATTCCCCTTCTTAATATCTTCCCAAAAGAATTTTTTTTTTTTTTTGGTACCGGAGATCGAACTTAGGTCCTTGTGCTTGTGAGGCAGCCGATGAAACCACTGAGCTAAATCCCCAGCCCTCTTCCCAAAAGAATTTAAAGCATCATACCACAGTGATATATGCACACCCATCTTTATAGCAGCACAGTTTGTAATAGCTAAATATTGGAAACAGTCCAAATGCCCATCAACCAACAAATGGATAAAGAAGATGTGGTTTTTCAATCCCCAGTACCAATAAAAAAAAAGAATAAGAAGAAGATGTGGCTTTTTTATACAGTGGAGTACTACTCTGCTATAAAGAAGGATGAGCTTCAGGCATTTATAGCTAAATGGATGGACCTGAGCCCACACTCTTAAGTGAAATAAATCAGCCACACATGCTTAAATACCACATTGTTTCTCTGGTGTTAGAGACTGAAAATGGAAATAAGGACTGAGATGTGTAATGGATGTGGGGAAATGGGAAGAAAGTGCTCAAAGGGGAAGAACAAGGGAGGAGAGAGGGAGAAAAGAAGGGACGAGAAAAAGTGAAAGAGGGAAAAATGGAAACAAAGCCTTGGTACGGGGGGGGGGGCTGAGGGAGGATGAGATTAAAAAAAAAAAAATTTAATTGAAAAAAAGAGTTAGGTCCAGGCTGGAGGAAGTAGGTCACTGGGGCATACTTCTGAAGGGCGTGTCCTGTCCCTGCCCCTTCCTCTTTCTCCCTCTCTCTCCCTCTCTCTCCCTCTCTCTGCTTCCTGGCTGCCATGAGGTGAGTTATGCTGCATTCCATCAGTGGAACACTAGGCCATACTGATGCCACGTTGTGCATAATGCACGCCAGGAGCCGGTGACCCCCGCTGTGCCATGTGATGCTCAACAGAACACTTCAGTAAGGCAACGTCACACGTCGTACTTCAAAAAGTGGTGTTCTTGGGCCAGGGATTTAGCTCACTGGTGCTGTGCCTGCCTCACAAGTGCAAGGTCCTGAGTTCGATCCCTGGTACAAAAAAAAAGTGGTGTTTTTTGTTTTTTGGGTTTTTTTGTACTGGGGATCAAACTGAGGACCTTGCGCTTTTGAGGCAGGCACAGCACCAGTGAGCTAAAGCCCCGGCCCAAAAGTGGTGTTCTTAGGACATTTGGCACGCCACAGTTGCTCTCCCCCTTTCACTACCACGTGACTTTTGCCACTGTGACAGGAGTCAGTTTCGAACTTGTCAGCAGGTCTCCCTTTTGGGCCAGGACCTGGAGGATGCCTGTGAGTGTCCAGGTAATGGCACACTCCAAATCCACAAAACTCCAGAAAATCCACTGGCTTCTCAATCGTGTTTTATGCAGTTGCCAATCATTTTGTAAGACCGATTCAAAACAGAACAAAAGAGGTCTGGGGATTTAGCTCAGTGGTGCCACCGCCTGCCTCAAAAGGGCAAGGTCCTGAGTTCAATCCCCAGTACCAAAAAAAAAAAAAAAAAAAGAGGTCTTGAACACTATTTCTTTCCACTCATTGATTCCTGATCCTATCAGTGCTTTCATCAGCCCTGCCCAAGGCTCCCGTGAATTGGTGATACACTTCATCATGTTCGGCTGCTGGACATGGATATTCTTTTTCAGCTTCTGGGGATAACCACTGACAAGACTTGGGAAGGTGCCAGCACTAGACGAGCCCACAGTGACAACACTGTTGTTTTGTTCCTTCTGCAGACAACATTGCCTGTGCCATCAACTTGATAATCGAAGGTACCTGTTCCTTGCTTCTCTAGCGCTACACTTGATTCCAATGGCACTTCATCCATGTGATCCTTTCTCACTGTACCTGCTGCCTGATGTCCCATTGAACTGAGCTTGTCAAGAGGTCAGTACTGGTGAAAAACTTGACCAACACCAAATAGCACCTTCCAGGGCATGCCTCTGTAATCGCCTCACACACTGAAGGACAAGTGGTGCATCGACACCATCTTTAGTGTTTGAATGTTTACCCCGACACAGCTGAAGTCAGCAAATGCAGTCCAGACCTGTGGCACCACACCAAGCCCCTTAGCCAGACTGAATGGGCTTTCCCTAAACAAATGGTTTGGAACCGTGATGGCCAAACTAAGGAATCAGTTTCATCAAAGCTGAAATACATCTCATTTGGAACAAATGTCATACATCTCTCATTGAGTTTGTTTATGAGGGGTCGCAACTTGGAAAACTTGTCCATTGGATCCAAATTTGTATGGTCAGCAATGTGCAAATTAGAAATCACAGCTCATGCCAGCACTAAAAGTACATTAGGCACATCTGTTCTTTGTTCCCCAAACATTGGCCTTCTAGAAACCGAGAAGTAACTACTCAAAAATAATTATAAGAAACATTTGAATTCAGGGCTTGTCAGCCAAGATGTACACCCTTACTTCCAGCCTATCAGTCAGAGTTTTATTAGTCCCAGTAGTGGTGTTTTTGCCTAGTGTTCCAAAACTGGAAGCTGCAAGTTGTCAGACACATAACTAATGCGACAGGCTGGATGTGGTGGCGCACACCTGTAATCCCACCACTAGGGAGGCTGCAACTTCGAAGCCAGGATAAACTACATAGCAAGACCCTGTCTCACAAACAAACAAATGAAAAACCCAGATAACTAATGCAACAATAATAATTTTGGCATTTTCTTTTTACAGCACAATAGCATAACTAGTAGAGAAGTAATAAAAAGTTACTTTGTATGGGATGTAGTGCAGTAAAATTACACGCGCCTGTCTTTGGACACCTCCTCAAAACCACTGCAGGCAAGTCGCAGCACTTTCTGACAAGCTCTGAGCACGCCAGTATTTGCCACAGTGACTGACGCTGTGCACCTAGTGGTAACCCAACCTCGGTAGGAGGACATGTGTGAGAAATCGGACCTCATTGATGACCCTGAGAAGAGGGGGAAAAGCAACCTCCAGGTTCCGGAGCCCAGTAATGGTCACTAGGCTTTAAACAGCTGGGTTCATGAGCCTGGAACACAGGGGAGACACTGGGGCAGCAGGAGACACTTCAACATCTCCATTCCTTACAGAGGGTATTTCTGCCCTCAATAAAGAGGAGTGGCAAAGGTGGAGCCCTGAGATACCTTAACAGTCAGACCTCAGGAGGAGAATCCAGCAGGGACAGGAAAGGGAGCAAAGAAAACAAAGGAGTGAGCAGCTGTCACATATTTCTGGGGCAGTGAGGCTGAGTCAGAACCCTGGCCCTGTGTCTGCTGACTCGGCAAGAATGAATCCGAGCAGCGGTGAGGACAGAAGCGAGATTGTGGCTTCAGAACAAAGCAGGAGCGACAGGACTACAGGCACTCTCTGATCAAGCTTCCCAACTATATTATTTTTATTTATTTAGCGGTACTGGGGATTGAACCCAGGGACTCACTACCAGTTAGCTACATCTCTAGCCTTTTTCATATTTTTAAAATTTTGAGACAGGGTCTTGGTAAATTAGCCCAGGTCACACTTGAACTTTGTTCCTCCTGCTTCAGCCTCCTGAGTGCTGGTAATACAGGCCTGCCCAGCCCTACACCAATTAAGTGGTAGTGAGAAGTGAAGCTACGGCTTGTCGGTGGCTTCAAGGGCATATGTCAACATTTATCAGGCTGCACACTTTTCAGGTCATTGTCTTTTTTTGTATTGCGGTTTCTTGGAGGGGACGCTGTACACTTCGGGATTTTTAACAAGTGAACACTGGACAGACAGGACGACGTCCTCTTTGTTGGTCCGTCTTTTCTGCCTTTCATTAGTCATAAGGAGACGGCAGAAGCAGAATCCACTTAAAAAAAAAAAAAAAAAAGTATGCCTCAGCTGCGTCGTACTTTCCAGAAATTACTGTGTAAATTCCTCGAGGGTCACCAACCCAACCGGACTTCCTGGGAGCAGGGATGCTGGCCCCGACCACCAGGCCGGACCACGCCCCCCGCCTGGAGAGCCCGCCTCTTTGGGAAACCACGCTGCCGGAAGCGGAAATAGTGTCGGGTGCCGCCGGAGTGGCCGTAACTGCTGTCGCGATGCCGAAGGGGCCCAAGCGGCAACCACCGGAGCCCGAGTGGATCGGGGACGGAGAGGTCACGCGCTCTGCCGGTGAGTGTGGCGGCAGGGAGGAAGTGGGAAAGGAAGGCGAGGACACGGGAGAGTCCGCGTGCCTCCGGAGGAGTCGCGGAGCGCGGGACTGCCCAGGCCCCGCGGGCCACTGCGCATGTGCGCCGCGGCCGGGCCGCACCGGCCGGCTGAGGAACTGGGAGCGGGACCGGAAGCTTCGGGTCGGTCCACGCCAGCGAGCCTCGGTGGACCGGCCGGGGGACGAGGGGAGCGTGTGGTGCCGAGCAGGAGGTGGGGAGAGATGAGAAAGCCCTCTCTTGTGGACCTTTCCCCCACCGTCCTGCCGCACGGGAACACTCGACCTCTGCCTCGACCTCCCCTTCCGCTCGCGCACGCGTGCTCGCCTCGGGAGCCGATGATGCCCCTTGTTCCTCGAGAGGGTGACTGCGTGTGCTCGCCATAGCTCGCCACATTGGACCTAGCTGGAGCAAGTGTCGATTTTGGAGGTTAGGATGGGGGCTCAGGGTGTAGCTCCGTGGTGGAACACTTGTGTCCCGTGCGCGAGGCTCTGCTTCGATATTCAGCGCATCGTGGAGGAGATAAGGCTTAAGAGCAGTGAATATTTACTGAGCGGTTGTTTCAAGTTCACCACTTTATAGTGTACTTTGGGAGTGGAAAGAAAAAATAGGAAGACATCCTACTAAGCTCGAAGTCACTTCAAGGGTAGGTAAAGTGGACACAGGTAACTACCATACACAGTGACTACTGTTGTAAGCGTTTATGGGATGCCTGTTGTATGCTGGGTCTTGTGCAGGGGAACTGGGAATGAATCCATGCCTGTAATCCCAGCACTCTGGGAGTCTGAGGCACCAGCATCGCAAGTTTGAGCTGTCCCGGGCAGTGTAGTGGCTTTGCAAGACTGTCTCAAAATGAAAAAAAGGGCTGGGGAGGTAGCTCAGTGGCAGGGCGCTCTTGGCTTCAAGTCCCAGAACTGCCCCACCCCACCAAAGAAAAGCCTTTTGCCAGAAGCAGTGTCCCAGACACTTGGGAGGCAAAAGCAGGAGGATCAGTTGAGCCCCATAGAGAGCAACCTGGACAACATAGCAAGCGCCCATCTTTAAAAAACAAAAACAAAAAGCCACAGGTCCTCAAGGGCACCCACCCCAGTGGAAGGGACAGAGCATTAAACCTCGGTGATTGGTGAGTGTGGTGGATGTGCCTGAGACTCCTGTGAGACTACCTACAAGTAAGGTAGGAATGGTATCAGCAAAACCTCCAGGAGCCGGGAGTGGGTACTAGTTAAGCTCTTTCTTGAAGGGTGAGTGTGAGTTGGCAAGAGGAAGACATTCCAAGCAGAAGAAGTCATTTGTACAGAGAGGTATAGGTGAGCCGGGCTGGTTCCCACTGGAACAGGTGACCAGAGCGGTGGGGTTGGAAGATGTCCAGGAGATGGCTCTGAAAGGGTTCCTGTGCTGTTCCAAGAAGTTTAATTCCAGAGAGTAAGAAGGAGAGCCCATCCAAGGGCATAGGAATGCCCGGAGCATCTCATTCTGAGATCACTGGCTGGGCAGGATGGTGTCATCAGGTGGGCCATTTAGAAGAAGGCCCTGGTAGTGATTCGGGTGAGACGTCCTGAAGCAGTGATGGCAAACCTTTTAGGGTTTTCAATGATACAGACAGCCCGCTGCAGCACGGGTGCCATAGGTTCACTTCTGTCCTAAAGGAACAAGCCAAGACAGTTAAGACTAAGTTCACTCAGGACATGGATTGGTCCGGAACTTGATGGGGGCTAAAGAATTAAGAGTGACACTCACTTCAGTAGCCCATGGGTAGGGACTGAATGGAGAGCGAGCAAGGGCTGTAGGGTGGGAAGAGATGAGGTTAGCTTTTGCATGAGAGACTGCGGACTGAGCAAAGGACAAAAGGCAGTCAGAGGAACTGCAATGCTTTAGCCAACAGTCTGGGAAGCCAAGTTAGGGAAAGGGAGCAGCCAGAGAAACGGGAAGCAAATGAGCAAGCAGGATCCTGAAGTAAGAAGAAGAGGGATGCAGAGGCAGCCAGCAGGAGTGTTTCGGAGGGGCCAGCCAAGTGAGGACTCAAAAATTACTTTTCAGGTGGAGAGCTACAGGGTCATTGGCAACTTAGACAAAAGTAGTATTCATTAGGAGACATTAACTGTGTCAGATTCCAGTAAGGATTGAATATCTCTTACCGGAAATGCTCAGGACCAGTATTTTGCATTTTGGATATTTGTATATACGTAATGAGTTACCTTGGCAATGAGACAATTTATGTTTCATATACACATAACTTGAAGGGCTTTTTTTTTTTTCCAAGAAGCAGTTGCCACTTTTTCCAAAAGTGAGGAGTGTGGGAGAAACAGGCTTTGCAGAGCAAGCATGGGCTGAGTAAAGCAAAAAAGAGGGTAAAAGCAAAAATAGAAATACATACTGTGTCTGAGAAATGCAGCTCAGGCTATCATGGGAAGTCACGATAGCTTGAAGATAGTTTTATACAATTTTTTTTTTGCTACCGGGGATCAACCTCGGGACCTCGCACTTGCAAGGCAGGTGGTGGAACCAATGAGCTAAATCCCTGGCCCCTGTACAGTATTCTTAATGATTTTGTGCGTGAGACAAAGTTTCTTGTGTGATTTTCCACTTGTGACATTAAGTTGGCACTTACAGAGCCTTAGACTGGAGCACATGTGTTCAAAAAGGGGTATGGTTGCGGGTGTGGCTCAGTAGCACAGCTCTCGCCTGGCATGCACAAAGCCCTGGTTCCATCCCCAGCACCATAAAAAGAAAGGAAAAGGAAGGGGAGACAAGGAAGTGTTGCTAATGTGAACTACACTTTGAGACTCAGTAAAGACATGGGTAGGGAAAAATAGTGCAGATGTAAGAGTGTCTTTCTTTGTTGGGGACAGGTAAGTGACAAATGAAAGCCAGTGTAGCTTTTTTGTTTCCCTTTTTCTCAGAACTGGGGATTGAACCAGGGCCTTCACACTGAGCTCCACCCCCACGGTCGCCCTGCTTTTACACAGGGCTTCACTAAGTTCCCCGGGCTGGGCTTGAATTTTCAGTGCTCCTGCCTCAGCCGCCCTAACCTCAGTTGTGCCTTGGTGCTACACTTTCTCACTCCTGAACCCAGCGCAGGCTCTTCCTCGCCCTATGGTCAGGTAGATTGGAGTAGACCTTAAAGTGTGAGTGAGATTTAAAGGAAGACAGCATGGTGTGGTTGTGCGATTCCTTGAGGAGAAAGTGTCGTTCTTTCTGATGTCCTCTGAGGGTCCTTCCTCTTGGTGCCCGTGGGATTAAACTCCTAGGACTGGCACATGAAGCCTTCGTCACTGGTCCTGCTCAGCCTTCCAGCCCATCACTCCAGCTACCCTACTGGGAACAGAAGCTGCAGTGTGTTGGGGTGGAGGACACAGATGCAGAGAGAGACCAATGTGCCTGGGGCTGCCCAGGGAGCAGAAAGAGGCCAGCATCCTGGGCAGAAGTGAGGCTGGGAGACGGGAGGGACCCATGTGACATGCTCGTGCCCTTTACTTACCAGATACTGGTGGGTGTGGCCTGTGGGTTTCACACCCGATGTATCCCAAGTTGAGTTCCTGACCTCCTTCCTGACCCCCTGTCCCCCACACAGGGCAGGTGGGGGTAGTGAGCTTTCTCTTGCGTTATTTCCTAACTTAGTAAGCAGAGCCACCAGCCAACCAGTTTTTCTATCTAAAAAGAGCAGTGGCCTTTGCATTCTCTCGCTTTCCATTAAGTTATTGGTACATTTTAGGTATACAATATGATGACATTCACCACTGGGAACTTGTACCCTTACATGACGAATCTTGGCTCTTATTTTCTCCCTTCCCCTGCCCTCCACCCCCTCCACCCCTCCCTATTTACAGAGACTTTGTTTCCATTTTTTCCTTTTCTCATATTTTTTCCTTTCTCTTCTTTCCCTTCCCCTAGCCCTCCCATTCCCCTACCCCTTTAGACCTTTTCTTCCTATTCACATTGTCTGTTGTACATTTTGATTCTCATTTACCTGTTCAGTTTCTCACACCAGAGAAACTATTTGGTATTTACACATGTGCGTCCTATTTATTTCACTTAAGAATACAGCCTGCATGTGATCCATGTAGCTATAGATGCCTCTAGTTTCTCATTCTTTATGGCTGAGTAGGATTCCCATCCTTTCACTTTTTTCCTGACCTCTGGCTCTACCCTGTGGATTCTGCTTCTCTTCCCCTTGCCGCTGCCCTAGACCAGGCCCCTGCTGTTTGAGCCCTGACTGCCAAGTGGACTCTGTCCCCGCTAGTCCTGGCTTACTGGCACTGCGCGGCCAGGGTGAGACCCATGAGTGCAGAAGCGACTGTGCCCATCAGGCCCCCACTCCTTGACCTGGGTGTGAGGCCCCCCCAGTGTCGAGCGGCTGTGCGCCCCGGAACCCAGCAGATAGCTGATAATGGCTTCCAGACCTCCTGCCCAGGCCTGAATGCATCTCCATAGGGGTCCTGGACTGGGCCGGGGCAGGCCCTCCTCACCCCACGCGTAGGCCTGCCCTCCTTTTCCGTGCTTTGTTTCGGTTCTTCGAGAGAGTCTCACTGTGCAGTGCGATCCTCCTGCCTCGGTGTCCTGCATGCTGGGGTCACAGGCACGTGCTGGCACACCCGGCCTTTACCGGCCCCTTGGAGCCCTCAGCACACTTGCGGCTGCTTGTGTGCTGCCTCATGGGACACAGATGCCGTGTGACACAGCTTCGTGAGGAGATGTTTGTGGCCATGGATGGAGGTGGAGGCCCCTTCGGGACAGTGCAGGGTCCAGGGAGTGGCAGTTGAGTTAGAAAAACAGTTGGGGAGAGGCCTGTGAGCTGTGAGGGGAGCTCAGGCAGCTTTGGAATTGAGAGGCAAGAATTCATGGTGCCTGCTTTACCTTCCAGAGAAGGTGGTGAAGAAAGGGAAGAAAGACAAGAAGACCAAAAAGACGGTGAGCAAACGGGGGCTCGGGAGAAGTGACTGGGTGTTTGTGGGCAGATGCAGTGAGCGTGCACAGGAGGGAGGGCTCTGAGGGAGCTCAGCGGCCTTGACAAGAGACGGGCAGCAGCTGGGCTGGCCTGCACCTGTGCTCGCAGCTCCTCGGGAGGTGGAGGGGCGCTTGCTGCCCTGGGCCACACAGCAAGACCCCATTCCAAAACATGAGAGACAAAACAGCCACTGAGAGAGGGGAGGACGGGTGTGGGGAGGGCCTGCAGGCCTGGGAGCCCTGCTTGCCCGTGTCCTGACCCCTTTGTAGTTCTTTGAGGAGCTGGCAATAGATGATAAGCAGGCCGGAGCGGAAGAGAAGGTGCCCAGAGAGAAGGAGCCGCCGCAGCAGCAGCAGCAGGTACTAGGACGGCCTGGCCCTGGGCTTCTGATCCACCTGCCCCCAGCCCACACGGCCCACTCAGCCCTCGGGCAGCTCCCCGCGCAGGCTCCGCGCGGGCCGGGCTTCGCTCCCCACCTTTCTTTCTTTCAGCAGCAAAAGAAGAAGCGGGACGCCCGGAAGGGCCGGCGGAAGAAGGGTGTGGACGACGATGGCGAGGAGAGGGAGCTGATGGAGCGCCTCAAGAAGCTGTCTGTCCCGGCCAGTGACGAGGAGGACGGGGGTGAGTGGCAGGGGCCCGGGCGCCCCCCGCGCTGCAGGGGGAGCCTCCTCTCACCTGCCTGCCCACCCCTTGTCGCCTCAGTGCCCGCCCCGACGCCCCGCGGAGGAAAGAAGGCCAAGGTGAGCTGTCTGTCGGGGGAGCAGAGGCCCCGGGCGCAGCCGTGGCTCCCACTGAGCCCTGCGCCCTCCTCCTCCTCCTCCTCCTCCTCCTCCTCCTCCTCCTCCTCCTCCTCTAGGGCGGCAATGCTTTTGCAGCCCTGATTCAAGATCAGAGTGAGGAGGAGGAGGAGGAAGAGGAAGAAAAACACCCTCCTAAGCCTGCCAAGCCGGAGAAAGATCGTATCAACAAGGTGAGGTGGAGGCCCTGCCGCTCGCTGCCGCCCCACTTAGCCTTCTGGCCAGGTGCAGCAACAGCTTGCTCTGACTGGCCCTTCCTGCCCGTGCAGCTTTGTCTTACTGCAGTGTCACATTCACCTTTGAAGAATACTCTGTCCCTCAGTCACCCACAGTGATTGCTCTTGCTTAATCTTAGAATCTAAAGCCGTGGCCTTCGTCCTTGCCCTTCCCCTTGGCACCCTGGCTGTAGCATGGGTCTGCTCTGACCGTGTCCATGCGGAAGCTTTGTTCCGCTGCTGCTTCCCCTCAGCCCTTGTCCAGCGCTCTGCCCCGGCCTGGCCTCCTCCGGCGCTGTGCTGCTTGCCGCCTCAGCTCTGGTGTGTCTCACCTCAGGCAGGAGGCCAGGGCTTAGCAGCGCGAAGCATAGTGTGCTCTTGCACAGTGGTCCTGCCACAGCAGCCAGTCCGTGCGTGTGTGTCCTGCAGGCTGTGTCTGAGGAGCAGCAGCCTGGGCTCAGGAGCAAAAAGGGAAAGGAAGAGAAGGCCAGAGGGAAGGCCAAGGTAAGAAAGTGACCAGCATGAGGAGGCTCTGGAGGCCAGGGGTTCGAGCGCTTGTCAGGCCTGTCTTTTCCCTGTTAGCCTCAAAACAAATTTGCTGCCCTGGACGATGAAGAGGAAGATGGAGAAGATGAGGAAGACATACGGAAAGAAGAGGAGCCTCCCACGCAAGGGAAGGCGAGGGCAGAGCAGGTGCGTGTGTTGCTGGGGGGCCCGGCCCAGGGAGCTTCTCAGCATCCAGGCGGGGTCTTCGGTCGCTGTTGGGGATGGCCAGGGAGCACACGTCAGCTTCGCAGTCTGTATGCGACCGCTCTGCATCACTCTTCTCCGTTTCTCTTTTTTACAACTCTGAAAATGTAACGAGTGTTTTCATCTCGCGGGCTGAGGCTGTACAGCAGCAAGCATCAGACAGACCCGGCCTGTGGGCTGTCAGTCCTGAGAGGGAAGAGCCCTGGAGCTGGTGTCAGGCAGCCTGCTTCCAGCTCTGCCTGTATCTCGCGCTCCGTGCTCCACGCGTCTGCGCAGTGCGAGGTCAGGGGTCGACTGAGCCCTTCTGGCGCTTTCTGGTTGTGTGATTCTACCGTGTTTCTCAGCAGTTGAGAAAAGGGGCTGCCCTTCACACTGGATGTTACCATGTGAACCGCAGGCCCTGCCTTGGTACGAAGGAAGCTCACTCAGCCTCAGTTACACGGTCTTGGGAGTTGTTAGATTTCCTCCCATGTGGTTGTACCATCATGAGGCAGAATTTGAGAAAGGGCTGCAGCAGATCCAGGCAGAAGATGGGCGCGAGAAGCGCTCGCAGGCCGGCCCGGCCCCAGCCCCGGCCCCGCCCCGGTTTTGCTCATCCCCCAGTTTTCACAGGGTTCCGAGGAAGGAGGAGGAGAGGCGGTTGACTCTAAGGCAGAGGATCCCTTGGCTCACCTTAGCAAAAAGGAGAAGAAAAAGCTGAAGAAACAGGTGAAGCATTGCTTCTTCTTGGTCAGCTAAGGGGGTTTGACTTTTTTTGCCTTTTTGACTAAGGAACTTGTGGGTTTGGGGACTCTTTCTAGGAGAGAAACAAGCGGAGAGAGGGAAGAGCTCTGTGCTCGGAGCCCGGTCTCAGTGTGCGGCACTGTGGGATTGTGTCCTGGTGCGGGCAGACGGCTGACCACGTAGATGGCCTCATTCATACACAGCCTTTTCTTCCTTCGCAGATGGATTATGAGCGCCAGGTGGCGTCATTAAAAGCAGCTAATGCCGCCGAAAATGATTTCTCCGTGTCCCAGGCAGAGGTGTCCTCGCGCCAGGCCATGCTAGAAAACGCTTCTGACATCAAGGTGAGGTCCGGGGGAGGTAGCACCCTGGGGCTGGGAGAGGCTGCTGCCTTGGCTTCCTTAGCACAGGAGGCCCCTTACCCCCGTGTCCCTTCCCTTCCCCTGCCCTGCCGGCTGCAGCTAGAGAAGTTCAGCATCTCAGCCCATGGCAAGGAGCTGTTTGTCAACGCTGATCTCTTCATTGTAGCTGGCCGTCGCTACGGGCTGGTGGGACCCAACGGGTAAGGATGCAGCGGGCTGTGGGGAGGGAAAGGGAAAGGGCTTTCCCATGGCGCCCACCCGGGCTCACGGCTCTCGGGTCTCGGCTCTCACCTCTCCCAGCAAGGGCAAGACCACGCTTCTCAAGCACATCGCCAACCGCGCCCTGAGCATCCCTCCCAACATTGATGTACTGCTGTGCGAGCAGGGTGAGGCTGGGCCTGGGCCTGGGACGGGTGGGTGCTGGAGAGAGGCAGGAAGCAGGGATACGGGGCTTGAGAGGCACCGTGCTGGGCAGGGTCATCTGCCGGAAGTGGGCCTGAGGGACGTAAGGGGGTCGCTGGCCGGGAGTGGCCTGATTGCTCTCCTGCTCCCAGAGGTGGTAGCGGATGAGACACCGGCCGTACAGGCCGTCCTTCGAGCTGACACCAAGCGGTTGAAGCTGCTGGAGGAGGAGCGCCGGCTGCAGGGGCAGCTGGAGCAGGGGGACGACACAGCTGCCGAGAAGCTGGAGAAGGTAGAGGAGAAGGCGCAGGGGACAGGCACTGAGACTCGGGTCCCTGGGCCCTCGCACACCGTCCTCTTCTCCCTGTCCCCAGGTGTACGAGGAATTGCGGGCCACAGGGGCAGCGGCTGCAGAGGCCAAAGCGCGGCGGATCCTGGCTGGCCTGGGCTTTGACCCTGAGATGCAGAATCGGCCCACACAGAAGTTCTCAGGGGGCTGGCGCATGCGTGTCTCCCTGGCCAGGTGGGCGGCTGCCCTGCATGACCAGGGCCTCCCCCTCCCCACTCCTCCGCTGTGTGCTGTGAGGCCTTGAGGTCTGCCCTCATCTCTCCCTGCCCGTTCTGTCAGTGTCTCCTCCTGGGCCTTCTCTGAGGAGTCAGGAGGGAGTGTCCTCCGAGGGTGGTGCTCCCGTGACTCCGCTCTGCCCCTCTAGAGCGCTCTTCATGGAGCCCACGCTGCTGATGCTGGATGAGCCCACCAACCACCTGGACCTCAACGCCGTCATCTGGCTGAACAAGTGCGTCGCCCGTGCCCGGCCCTCCCTGCGTGGAGTGCCTCTCCCCTCGCCCTGGCTGCCCTTTCCCGGCCGTCGGTCGGACTTATCTCTTGTCCCTGCCTCTCTGTTGTGACCCTTCCTTTCATATTCTTCCTGAACCCAGCTACCTTCAGGGCTGGCGGAAGACGCTGCTGATCGTCTCCCACGACCAGGGCTTCCTGGATGATGTGTGCACGGATATCATCCATCTGGATGCCCAGCGGCTGCACTACTACAGGGGCAATTACAGTGAGTGGAGGGCAGCCTGGGAAGGGCTGGGCGGGCGCAGGCCCAGGACAGTGCTGAGCCCAGGCTCTGCTGGCCTGCAGCCGGCCGTGCTCCAGCCTCTCCCGGGGTGTCCCTCTGGGAGCGGCTGCCACTGAGGCCTGGCTCCCTCTCTGCCCAGTGACCTTTAAGAAGATGTACCAGCAGAAGCAGAAGGAGCTGCTGAAGCAGTACGAGAAGCAGGAGAAGAAGCTGAAGGAGCTGAAGGCTGGTGGCAAGTCCACCAAGCAGGCCGTGAGCGCTGGCTCCTCCCGGCAGGGACGCCGTCCTGGGGCCGCAGCATCTGGACCGCTCCCCTTCTTCCTCTCCAGGAAAAGCAGACAAAGGAAGCCCTGACACGCAAGCAGCAGAAGTGCCGGCGGAAGAACCAGGATGAAGAGGCCCAGGAGGCGCCCGAGCTGCTGAAGCGGCCCCGGGAGTACACTGTGCGCTTTACCTTCCCCGACCCCCCGCCGCTCAGCCCGCCGTTGCTGGGCCTGCACGGTAGGCTCCGTGGGCCTGCGTGGGTGGGAGGGGCGGGGCTTCCTCTGCCTGTGGGGGCCCCTGCCAAGAAGGTAACTTGTGTCTTGTCCTGGCTCTCAGGCGTGACATTTGGCTACGAAGGGCAGAAACCACTCTTCAAGAACCTGGACTTCGGCATTGACATGGAGTCAAGGAGTGAGTGGTGTTGGGCGGCTCAGGACATGGAGCAGGAGCATAGTCTGAGGCCTCCTTGTCTGACCCCTCTCTTCCTCTTCCTCTTGCAGTCTGCATCGTGGGCCCTAATGGCGTGGGGAAGAGCACACTGCTGCTGCTGCTGACTGGCAAGCTGACTCCGGTGAGTCCTGGAGCACAGGAAGTGTGCAGGCGCCCCCTGCAGGCGGGGTTCGCAACCACTCACCACCTTGGGAAAAGGGGGAGCTTTAGTGCAGTTCCAGGAGAGGCCGGAGGGCCGGAGCCTACCTTGGGTGGGACCCCATGTGTTTCATTATGTAAGAACTCCTGTCCATGAGAGAATGGTTAAAATTGCATATGCCAAGAGGAAAATACCGAGAGAACTGGCATTAATTTTTGGTGGATAGCTTTCTCCTTTTTCCTGTGCAAGTGTGCAGTTTTTCTTACAAAATGAATTGTTCTGCAGCCAGCCTTTTCCACAGGACACCTTCAGGTGTTTTCTGCACTCGTGGTGACATGTGCACACATTCGCTTATGCCTTATCATACTTCATTTGGTGGCAGCTGCCTGGGATTGCTCTTGGGACTTAGTGGGTCACCAGGTCGCATGTTAGAAGGTGCAGCTGCTTCTCGAGGGTGTGGAGCACTGTGTCCCATGCCCACACCGTGCAGGTCTCCAGAGAAGCTGCCTTAGCTCCCCGGTGGGAACAGCTTCACGCTGTGCTCTGTGGCTCCCGTGCTCGAGCGTCAGCCCCTTCCCTCTCCTGCCTCACTTTGCTCTTACTCCCCTTTGGCCCTCAGCTCCTCTGCTTTCCTGGCTGTGCCTTTGTCTTGTCATGGAGAGCGTCCTGTCCCTTTTTCTGTGTGCCCTTGATCCCAGCCCAGTTCTAGTTCTTGTTTCCCTGCAGAAAAGTTGGGATACAGAGAGGAGCTCCTTTGCCCCACTTCCTCCTCTGACCACTTGATCTTTCCTTGTAGACCCGAGGGGAAATGAGAAAGAACCACCGGCTGGTAAGTTGGCTTTGGAAAAGGAGGAGTGATGGCCTGGCGGAGGACGTGTGGCCGTGACAGATCACCTCCCTCTCCCTGGGCAGAAAATCGGCTTCTTCAACCAGCAGTACGCAGAGCAGCTGCGCCTGGAGGAGACGGCCACCGAGTATCTGCAGCGGGGCTTCAACCTGCCCTACCAGGAGGCCCGCAAGTGCCTGGGCCGCTTCGGCCTCGAGAGCCACGCGCACACCATCCAGATCTGCAAGCTCTCGGGTATGGTGGGGGGCAGGAGGGCGCCCACTTGCTCTGCGTGCGAGTGCGTGGCGGGTGTGGCAGAGCCCCTCTCCCTGCTGCAGGTGGGCAGAAGGCCCGGGTTGTGTTCGCAGAGCTGGCCTGTCGGGAGCCCGACGTCCTCATCCTGGTGCGTGGGCTTCGGGGGAGGCACCGGGGGTGGAGGTGGGGCTGCGGGCTGCGGTCCTCAGGTCCTCAGTGGGGGCCTCCTCCTCCCCTCCTGTCTCCCCCCCCCCGCAGGACGAGCCGACCAACAACTTGGACATCGAGTCCATCGATGCCCTGGGGGAGGCCATCAACGAGTACAAGGGCGGTAAGGAGCACCTGGGAGGGGACTGCACTGCAGCGCCCATGGGCGGAAGCTCCCTCTTCATGTCCTGATCCTCTTCCTCCTCTCTTTCTTCAAAGCCGTAATCATCGTGAGCCATGACGCGCGACTCATCACAGAAACCAGCTGCCAGCTGTGGGTGGTGGAGGAGCAGAGCGTCGGGCAGATTGATGGGGACTTCGAGGACTACAAGCGGGAGGTGTTGGAGGCCCTGGGCGAAGTCATGGTCAGCCGGCCCCGGGAGTGAGAGTCTTCGGGGAGCCCCTGCGAGACGTCCCCAAGTCTCGCAGCTGATTCGCCATGTGACCAGGATACCACTTAGCTTGCTTCCTTCTCTTCGAAAGACCTGTGTGTTTTCCTGTGGTCAAGCGGCAGGCCTTACCCTCGACAGCCTGCAGACCGGGGGACCCTCCTGTCTGTGGCCTCTGTCCGGCCAAGCTCAGGTGGCCCCTGGTCAAGACTCTTCACTCGGAAGCCTGGCTTGGCCCACCTGAAGCTGCAGGCGGCCCCAGCCCTGGAGGAGTCTACTGACTGGGGGTGCACACCTCAGGGCCTTGGCCGAGGAGCCTGAGGCCTGTGGCTACCACCAAGCTCTGGCAGGAGAGGAGAGCGGGAGGAAATAAAGGAGAGGCGTGGCCACCACCGCCGGCACTGCAGGCTGGTGGGAGCGGGGCTGTGCTCGTCCTGTGTGTCGCACTCCGTTTTCTTTCTTGCAGCTTTGAGTCCACCCTGCTTACGCAGATGCAGGCAGACTGAGCGTGCTGTCTTCACTGCACTTACGGGCTGTGCCAGGCTCCTCCCTCCGTTGCCCAGCCTTTCAGACAAGGCAGCAAAGAACGCAGTTCTCCTCCCTGCTGTTTTGGACAAGTCCCTCACTGTCCAAGCTACCACGTGAATGAGGAGGCACTCTGCCCTGTAGTTGGGGGCCATAGTGCTTACCCTTTTGTAAACATTAGCCGACCTAAGCCGGCCCTGGTAGTACATGCCTGTAATCCCAGCACCTGGGAGCTTGAGGCAAGAGGATTGCTAGAGTTCAAGGCCAGCCTGAACTACACAGTGAGACCCTGCCTCAAAACAGAAAGTTAGCCACTCTGGGCATGGTAGTATGTGCTTGTCACAGTTGCTCAGGAGTCTGAGGCAGGAGGATTGAAAGTCTGAGGCTAGCCTGGGCAATTAGGAAGACCCTGTCTCAGAATAAATAATAAGGCCGATGGGGTTAACTGTTAACTGCTTGTGTAGCTTGTGTGAGGTCATGGGTTCAATCACCAGCACTACAAGAAAAGGCACCTGCCAGCACTCGTAGTACTGTCACGTTTACAGGAGATGGGCTCTGCTTTTTTAAATACAGAAGGCTTGAAAGAATAGATGAGCACAGTGGCATGCACCGCTAGGCAGGAGGACCGCGTTTGGGGCCAGCCTGGATGATAGCAAAACCACCTCAAAGAAGGCATAGTGTACATAATGTTTATGTTTACCAGATACGTATTTGTATACGTCACCTTTCTGTTGCTGGGACAAAATACCTGACAGGACTTAAAAGCAAAGTTTATTCTGGGTCATAGGCTGAGGTTTCAGTCCACAGACAGGTGTCTCCAAGGCAGAAACAGGCGGGGAAGGTGGAGCAGCACTGCCCACCTGAGGGAGCCAGGAAGGGAGTGAAAGCAGAAAGGAACGGGGCACAGCCCGGACCTGCACTGCCCTCCACTCCTCTCCCTGGTGAGCTGTTAGCCAGTGAACTGGTAGACTGATCCATTGATGGTACAGCCCAAGATCCAGTCACTTCCCAGGGCCGGGCTCAAGTACAGCAGCCTTTGGGGGACCGTTTAAGCCCTCCCTGCACCCCATCATGCAAAATGCATTTAGTGCGCCTCCAGGGCCCCCATTCTTAACTTTGGTAGCATTGCTTGAAGTCCGCATCCTATCTCCCGTGAAACTCAAGGCAAACTGCAGTGAACCCGTTTCCAAAATCCCCAAGATAAAGTGGCACAGGGTAAACACATTCCCAAAGGAAGAGGATAGAAAAGAATCGGACTAAAGCAAGATGGACCCATTGGGCCAGATGTTTGTTCCTGAGCTCTGTCCAGCACCTGTCTGTGGCAAGGTGAGCCCGAGGCCAGGCAGCCTCCCACCATGACCCAACCTGCTGCTTCCTGCGACTGTTCTTAGCAGACTTCCCGGCATCACTGACATCAGCTTCATGTGTGGCCCTTTGGCCAACTGCAGGCACTCCGAGGCCTTCTGACATGACACCTCCATGGAAGCCCGCGACCCTGTAACCCACATGCTGGTCACTCGCCTGCAAAACAAGCCCTATGGACACTGCAGAGTTCTACAAAGTGAGCTTGACCAGTAGCCAGGTCTACTTGAACCATGGCTGCAGCTTCTGCGGAGGACCCAGACAACTAAGCACTGTTAAATGAATCTTGGGCAAACAACTTGACAGACCTGTGCAGGCAGGGTGCCCCATGTCCTCTGAGCCAGCCTCAGTGCACACCTGTTCCCCCTGAGCTCCTGATGAGTGGGGTGCTGGCCAGTTCCTGAGATGCCCTCAAGGGATCTTTTTGATTGTCCTGGTGCAAACTGTGGCTTTTTAAAGATCCTTATCATTTGACACAGGGTACATTCTTCCCCACTTCCCACTCCCAAATTGTTTATTTTTGTTTTGTCTTTTTACACAGGGTCTCACTATGCAGCTCAGGGTGACCTTGAACTCACTAACCCAGGCTGGCCTTGAATTTGTGATCCTCCTGCCTCAGCCTCCTGAGTGCTGGGATTACAGATGTGTGTCACCACACCTGGCTGTTTCTTTTAGACGTTATCCAACCGTTTATGGGTTTCAACCTTGTGGACTCCTTGTAGTGTTTTTATACTGGTACCTATTTTAGTAGCATCATTCTTTACCTGAGATTTCAGTACATAAATGAATACATAAATGAGAATTTTCTTCTTTTTTTTTTTTTGGAATCTTACAGACATGATTGTAGAGTGGTGCAGTATGTACGAGACTCTATATACAAGACTGCAGTATGACTACCTCTCTGTGAGGGCCTGGTTTTATGCACTATACTACTTAAGCGTGCAGCTACCCATATATAATTTCTTCCTGCAGAATACAGGCTATTAGAAAAAACACTGCTGGGCCGGGGATTTAGCTCAGTGGTTCCGCTGCCTGCCTTGCGATCAGAAGAGCCCGAGTTCAATCCTTGGCAACAAAAAAAAAACCAACAAAAAACACTGCTAACATTAAAAAACATTAGCAACTACCTTTATGTCATCTGATAAAAGAAAAATCTACAGTTTATAAACATTTGCTAAAGACCTTAAAAATTCACTCGTGTCCCTCCTGAATTGTGTCTCTTTTCACTGGTGAGTTTTCTTTTCAGTCTGCAGCCTCTCCGACCTGAACTTCAGAAAGTGCAGCCTTTTCTCAACCTCACGTGTCCACGAGTTTAGCTTCTGTTCCTATGCCCTGCAGCTGAAATGGGGACTGAGTTCATTTTCCAAAGTCAGGCGTGGTGGCGCATAGCTGTCATCCCAACACACCAGAAGGCTGAGGCAGGGGGATCACAAGTCCCAGCCTGGCCGGGGTGGTTTAGCAACTTTACCTCAAAATAGAAAATAAAAAGGGCTGGGGATTCAGCTCAGTGGAAAGGCTCTGGGTTCCATCTCCAGGACTGGAAAAAAAAAGTGTAGACTCAGATGTTTCCACCTGAAGAGAAGGAGAAATGGCACTCAGGAGCGGGACCTGCTCTCAGGCATGCTGGTGTCCCCAAATGAATCGCCACGCTTCTTTGTGAGCGGTGGCCAATGCTAATTATTGGTACTGGGCCACGATAGTCAGACTTTGTGATTTGTTGACAGTAGGTCACGTCCCAGCAGCAGGGGTGAGAGGCAGAACGGTGTTTTAGAGCTGGAGAGGGCGCTGGTGCACCTGGGAAGAGTCGGCAGGAGCCTGACTGCTGAAAGGATGTTTGAGGGTGGGAATGCAAGCTGGAAAGACAGGCTGGAACAGGAGAGAAAGTGCCTGCGGGCTTGGGGAGGAGGCTAGGCAGCAGTGGGTGGGTGCACTGGATGAGGTGCTCAGGCCACCCCTTGGGAAAAAAAATTTTTTTTGGATACAGGTCTCCCTATGGAGTTCAGGCTGGCCTTGAACTCACAGCAGTACTCCTGCCTCAGCCTCCAGAGCGCTGGGGTCATAGGTGTGCACCACCACACCCAGCAATTGAGCTCATTTTCAAATTAAAGTAGGGAAAACATGAAGCTTTCTTTAAAGGTTCTTGGGACTTTTCTCAGGAGCTAAGTGAGCGGGCAGTGGAAACGTTCTGGCCACGAGGTTGAGACAGGTTGGGTTGGTTTTTCCAACTGAGCCTGGCTGTTTTGCTGTTCCCTTAGCTTGGTGCGTAGGCGTCCTCTCAGGCCCTCTTGTCCCTGTGCACAGAGAGCAAGACTGACCTGGCAGCCTCACGGGGAAGCCAGCTGCAGGCGGAGGCCCGTGAGCTGTGAGCAGGTTTCGCCCCCGTGTGGCCTGTGGCGGAAGTAGCCGAGGTGCTTGCGTCTGGGGCGGTATTCTCAGGTTTTCCCGAGACGAGGAGCAGCGTCTGGGTCTTGGGAGTGGGAGTTCTCAGGATCGACCCCAGATCTGCTGAGTCCGAAGCCCGGCCAGACCCCAGTGCCTGCTTCGTCTCGGGCTGTGCAGGCGATTGGGCGATGACGCAGTCTTAAAGCCATGGTTCTCAGAGGACCTGCACCCCAGCAGCCCCGTCTTCCCCGCCTGTGCCCCATCCCTGCAACGTGGCATACTCTTCTGCTCTCCAGATTAGAACTCTAACGGTGGCCAGCTGATGGTGCACGCACTACTCTCAGCACTGGGGAGGCTGAGCCAGGAGCATCACCACTTTGAGGCCAGCCTGGGCTACATAGTGAGACCTTGTTGCTTCTTTTTTTTTTTTGGTACCGGGGCTCGAACTCGGGTCCTTGCGCTTGCCTGGCAGGCAGTGGAACCACTGAGCTAAATCCCCAGCCCGACCTTGTTGCTTCTTAAAGTTGACCATATGCCTCCATGTTCTGGTCTTCAGAACCTCCCATACAGGGCCGGAGGTTTAGCTCAGTGGTTCCGGCGCCTGCCTAGCAAGCGCAAGGTCCCGAGTTTGATCCTTGGTACCAAAAAACCCCCAAAACAACACCCCCCCCCATATCCCCAGGAATTTTATTCCATCATCTAGGTCCTAAATGTAATACCTGCCCTAAGGAACTGAACTCACTTTACTCTCCATCTAGCAGCAGACCCGCCTTGCCCTTGGCAGGAACACTTTTTTTTTTCTGAGGCAGGGTCTCACTGTGTAGCCCAGGCTGGCCTTGAACTTATGGCAGGCAGTTCTCCTGCCTCAGCCTCCCAAGTGCTGGGAGTACAGGCGTGCACCACCACACCCGGCAAGTGCCACTTGTTTGGGACAAGCAGTCTACACGTTTCCCTTACTTTCTCCCTGAAACTTCCCCCATATCAACACACAGGCTTGTTTGCTTCCTTGGCAGGAACTGCAGCTGGGCTTTGCATGTCCTCTCCCCTGTTCCCACCTCAGGCAGCTCCATGAGGCGGAGGCGGTAGCTTCAGCCAGAACCAATGGCCACACACGGTCTCCGTCAGTGGCCACCTGTGAGGGACTCTGTGCTCCACGGGCCCTGCTGCTTGGTGCGATTGTGTGTGGTGTTGCTGCACCACTGGGGATTAAACCCAGAGCGTCTGCCCTGAGCTATATCCCCAGCTCTTTCTGAAATGTCTGAGACAGGGTCTCTTGCTAAATTGCTTCATTGTCCAGGCTGGGCTTGAGCTTGCGTGCCTCCGGCCTCTGTGTTGATCTGCAGGGCTTTCCCCCCATCCTGTACGTCTCAAAGCACAGCTGGCCCTCCACATCTGTGGGCTCCTTCCACATCCAGATTCAACCGGGGACCAAAAGCATTTAAGCTGGGGCTGGATGCACATACCTGTAACCCCAGGCCTCTGGAAGACTGAGGTAGGAAGATCACAAGTTCAAGCCCAGCTTGGGCAGCTAAAGGCCTAACCTCATCTCAAACAATGGTTGGGATGTAACTCAGCGTGAAGGGCCTGAATGCAGTCCCCAGTACAATACTGAAGGGAAAAGCTGAACTAAACCTGTGGACGTTGCCATTTTCCCCTAAATACATTTACTGTGGCACCTCGGTTCACAAACTTAATTCTTTCCACAGTTCTGGTTGCAAACCAAATTGGACGAGAACAGAATCAAAGTCAATCATGGTTAGGTCAGTGTTGACCTGGAGAAATTTGATTTGGTTTTTGGCCAAAGTCATGCTAAGAATTAGGTTATGAACTGTGGCACCCCTGTTGTTACGTTGTTTTAGATGGAATCTTAGGAGGACCCAAGTGCACAGGATCCTGGTATGCATGCCGGGCAGCGCGGTGTCCGGACCCAGGCCTCCTGGGCCGCAGAGGAAGCCCCGCTCCGTCCTTCATCAGCGCCAGCTGACTGGGAGCCGGAGCCAGGCTGAGCTCCTGGAGGATGACAAAGGCTGGGTGAAGGTTTGCTCCCGTGTCCCAGTCTATCCCCAACAGCTGAGAAAGGCACTGGGGAAAAAGTCCAGACGCACTAGGGGTTAAATAAGCTGCTTCTCGTTCCACTGTTTATTAATGTACAAAATATACAAAACCGAAAGAAAAAATTCATCCTCAAATCCATCGTGGCTGTAACCCAAGACCCTGCTCAAAACCCAACCAATCCACTGTTTTCACAGAAAACAACTGATGCTGACAGCAAGGAGAGGACTGGGGAGGGGACGTCACCTGGCTGCACCCCGGGGGCCCTCAGCAGCTGCGTGTCCTGTGGCTGGCGGCCCGGGTGTGCGGCCCGAGCTGAGGGGAAGCTGCTCCCGAAACGTCCCCGGGTCTCCCGGCAGCTGGAGCGAGGGCCCCAAGCCAGCAGCCTCACCAGCTGGAACTCTCCCCGGTGCAGACGTGAGCGCGTCATCCTCGGGCCCAGTCGTCCTCGCAGACTCAAGGGCTGACGACAGGCCGCAGCCTCGCTCGGCTTGAGAAAGGGCTCAGGCAGAGCCTGGGGCACAGGGCTGGGGACTGTCAGCCCTCGGCCCGGCCAGAAGGAGCCCAGGGGGCTGCAGGACACACAGGGCCCTTCGGCGTCTGCCCCCAGAGGGACGACAGACTCGTCCCGGTGACCCAGCGCGGCAGGCCCACGTCAGAGCTGTGTGCGCACGGAGGACCCGAGACAGGAGGCGGGAGGGCGCCCCGTCGCCAGCCCTGGTTCTCAGGCAGGGGCAAGGCTGGAAAGAGACGCAGGGCAGGGAAGCCTCCCGGGGAGCCAGCTGGGCCTCCTCTCCCGCAGGCCGGAGTCCAGAGCACGTCCAGTCCCCCGAGCAGAGGGAAGTACGTCCATCGAGGTGCAGTGATCCGGACCCCCGGAAACCGCGCCGGCGGGAGCTGAGGGCCGGCTCCTCCTCAGCTGGGGAAGGGCAAACGGGCCTCACAGAAGCCATAACGGGTGAAGGAGCCAGGCTGCAGCCCAGGGGTGCAGGGCCGGCCCTAGGGCAGGGGCGGCCCGTTGACGCCCGGGTGGTAGAAGGCACAGTTGTTCTCATAGCGGCAGTTGCCCTTCATCATGAAATGTCGGCAGACGGGGCGATTTGACATGTCTGTGGGAGGAGGGCAGAGTGGTGAGTCACGGGTGGCTGCAGGCCGCGGCACCTCGCAGCGGTCTTCGGAGGCAAGAGGGCAGGGCAGGGCAGGGCCTGGCATGCACACTGGGCAGCAAGGCGCCAGGAGCCTCCCACGCCCACCTTGCACCCGACACAAAGCCGCGTGGGAACAGGAAGCAGCTCACCTCCTCCATGGCTGTGGCCTCCGTCATGCCCTCGGTGCCCTCCCCCATGGCCAGGGCCTTCATGGCCACGGTGCTCGTGCGGAGGTGGCCCTCGATGCTCATGGCCTCGGTGACCAGGGACATCATGTGGCCTATGGCCATGCAGCCCCCCATGTCCAGGCCCTTCATGGGGCCGATGCCCGCCGCTGCCGCCCATGCCCCCAGCGGGGCCTTCGTGGGGCCGATGCCCGCCGCTACTGCTCATGGCCCCGCCGGGGGGGCCCCCCCGCCCATTTGGGGGTCCTGCTCCAGATCGCCCTCCTCTGGTGCCTCGGAACGGAGGAGGTGGAGGGGGCTCATTTCCTGCTCGGCCACCTCTGCCTCGATGGTACGGTCCAGGACCAGGACCTGGCCCCCCTCGCATCGGGCCACCCCGCATAGGGTCACCTGGGCCATCCCAGAAGGGGTCACCCCCTCGGGGAGGTGGAGGGGGACCCAGGAGACGTGGAGCCACTGGTCCACCTGGGCCTCCATGGGGACCTGTCAGGGGCAAAAGAAGAGAGGCAGCGTCAGCCAGCAGTCACCCACGCTGTCCCGGGCCGAGGCGTGCAGCTGGACCCATTCACCCTGCCCTCACCACCTACCTGGCATGGGTGCCGCAGGCCCGGGCGGGAAGTGCTGCATACCCTTGGGGCCCCCAGGGCCTCCTGGTGGGAAACCATTGGCTATCGGGCCAGGGCCTAGGAGTCCGTGCGGCACTGTTAACAGAGAGAGGGGATGAGGGCTAGGGACTTAGGGACTCAGCTCAGTGGTTCTGCCACCTGCCTCGCGAGCTAAGGACCCGAGTTCGATCCCCGGTACCGTACCGGGGCGGGACGGGGCGGGACGGGACGGGACGGGACGGGACGGGACGGGACGGGACGGGACGGGACGGGACAGGACGGGACGGGACAGGACAGTACCCAGTATCTGCGTGAGCTTGTCCGAGGACTCCGCCTGCCTGAGCAGGTCCTCCGAGGGGCGGCCGCTGGGGCTGCCCATGATGGAGGTGAGGATCTCCTGCACGTTGATGCCGCCTCCACCAGGGCCCTGCGGGCTCTTCCCGGCACCCATGCTCCCCATCAGGTTGGCCAGCACCGGCGGCAGCTTGGAGCCAGCCGCCCCGTCGGGAGAGCCGCCCGAGCCCCCTGGCTCCAGGGCTTCCCCGTACGGGGTCTCATCCATGGCACACTCCTGCACAGAGGGGCGCACATCAGACTCGCGGAAGCAGCGGGCCACCAAGGGCCACAGAGCCTCGGCCATCGTCAGCCACCGGTGCCGCGCCGTGGACTCACCTCATCCAGGGGGATGAGCTTGGGGGGCAGGGGCTCATAGGGCTCAGGGTCAGGCTCGTGAGGGCTGCAGGAGCAGAACATGAGGGGCAATGACTTCCTCAGCCTGGGAAGCTCTTGGCCTCCCACGCCCTGCCCAGGCACCCCGCCCGCTAGGAGAGCGGGCCCTGCTGAGCTACCTCCCAGCTCTGCCCCCACCCCTTGTCCTTTTCAGACACGGCCTAGCTAAGCAGCCCGGGCCGGCCTCCAGCGTGCGACCTCCATGCACCCAACGCCAGTCAGCGCCCTGCCCAGGCTGCCGCCACTGCTCACCTCTCCTTGTTCAGGAAGAGCTCCTGAAGGATCCCCTTCTCCCGCTCAGCCTGGATGTATCGCTCCTGGCTGTTGCTCCCGGGGCTGACAAGAGGCGAGGGCAGCACCAGGGCCCGGGGGCACACCCAGGGCACCTTCTCCTCCATGTTGTCGTGGCTCAGACGCCGGGCCGTCTCGAACGCATGTCGGTCTGACAGTATCTCTCTCTTGGCTGCCTCTCCGAAGTCCTTGATTTTATTCACATTTACTGACAAGGGAAAAAGCAGGAGCAACGTGAGCCCAGCGAGCTCTCATTAATCCCCTCACATCATCACACAGGCCGCTCGGCCTCTTACCCCGTTCGGTCTCATCCAGCTCGAAATAGAAGTACTCCCTCAGCTTGCTCTCCTCAGGCCACGTCACGGTCTTCCTCTTCCTGCCCTTCCGGGTCAGCTGGCCGGGATCCCCGGGGCTCTCCACCGGCTTGGCGTCCAGGGCTCCTGGCTCCAGAGAGGCTGGAAGCAGTGGAGGTTTCAGATCCAGCTCTATCCTTTCGCAAAGCCCCAGCCTGCGCCACTTCCGCCATTACCTGTGTCCATGAGCTCCGGGACTTCCACAGGTGGCACCGGGGTGCCAGGGCGGTCCACGTCCTCAGAAGGCGGGGCTGGGTCTGGTGACGAGGGTTTGGCTGTGCTTGGTTCTGTGCTCGTCTTCCCTTCGAAGGGGCTGGGCTATTATGAAAGAAGAAGTTAGTGAGCCGAGCAAGGCACTCCGCAGTGGCTCCTGAGGCAGTCACTTCCTCCAATGTGGTCTCTGCCCCGGGCCCCGCAGTCTGTGTCTGAGCCAAACGCCCACGGCTGCTCCCGGCCAGCGGCAGTGCCTTGCCCGCTCCAGAATGTGCACCCCATCACGGAACCCTACTTCTCGGGGCCCATACCTTGGCAGCAGTAGGTGACAGCACCTTCTTCTTCTTCTTAATTTTGATGCCTGGGACAGGGGCTGAATTGAGAGCATCCAGAAAGCCCAGGCCCTCCATAGCTACAAGAGGAGCAGCACAGAAAGGAGTCAGACACACTCTCCCATCCTGCCCTGCAGAGTCCTGGGGGAGGATGGGCCCGCTGACACCTTGCCTTAACTTAGGAAACAGAGGCACAAGGTGGCCGGGAAGGCTCCGAAGATGGGGCCGGGCCATGCCACGCAGGCAGTGCTGCTGCCATTCCAGCTGGCTTCTGGCAGGCGAGCTGTGGCTTTGGACAGGAATCAGGTGCAGGTGATGGGTGGAGGGGAGGCCCCGACCACCACCGAGAGGCACCTTGCTGACCGCCTGTCCTAGGTAACCCTACGCACGAAGAGCTCTAGGGGTGCAGAAACCAAAGGGCCCGAGAAGTCAAGGACAGGTCAAAGCAGCAGGAGGAAGGTCGACGCCCCCCGCCCCGCCCAAATCCAAGCCATCCTGGTGGGCGCTGGACTCACGCTGCGGCGGGATGATCTTCACTTTGATCTCCTTGGTGGCGTTGGGGGTGGTGTTCAGCGGCTTGTACTTCTTCTCCACGGGCGGGGGCACGTCTCCCGGAGTAGCTGTGGCACTGCAGGGAGGGCCGTGGTCAGCGACACCTGTGCCCAGCCCGGCTCGCTCCCCAGTGCCACAGACCCACTGTTCGGAGGCGACCCCAGGCCGCACCTCTGGCGCTTCAGGGGGATGGGCTTGAGGTTGTACTTGTCGGAGACCATCACGGCGCTGGCGTTCTTCTTCACAGGCACCAAGGATGGCGTCTCCAGCTCGAGGCCTGCGGAGGGGTGGGGAGGGGCGCTCGCTCAGCCCGGCCCCCACACCGCCCTCCGCCGCCGCTCCCACATCCCGGGTCCCAGCAGGCCCAGGCCCAGGCCCTCACCGGTGGAGCGGAACTTGGCATGGCTGGGGGCGGTGGTGCGGAGAGACTTGGGCTTCTCCTTCTTCTTCTCCGGGGCCTCCTCGGCTCGGGCCTCAGTCTTTACCTCCGCCACAGGTCGCTCGGGAGGTGCGGTTCGACTCCTTCCCTCTTCTTTTCGCTTTTTCTTATCTTTTTCTGTTGCAGAGAAGGATTTCAGTTAGCAGGTAAAGACGCTTGAGGCGAAGCAGATGAAGGCACTCAGGGCCACACTCTGGTGGGAGAGGAGGAAAGCAGGCCGAGGAGTGGGGCTCACCAGCAGGCGGGGCGCTGCTCTGGGAGCGGATGACTGCCATCCAGTCGCTGACGAGGACAGAGGCCAGCTTCCGGAGCTCTGCAGGAGGAGGCGGAACAATTTAGTGGTTTTTCTAGTAACAGAAACATCAGGGTGTTTGAAAGAAAAACCTGCACAATGGAAAAAGTAACCCAGAGTTTTTAAAAACATGAAATACACTTAAACCTCGGTTTTTCTAGGCAACCTTTTTTTCTATACTGCTCTTAGTGATAATGGTTTAAAAAAATCAACTAATGATAGCGAGAGTGAAATGAGCATTAAAATGAGCCCATTTAGGAGCGGGAACCGGTTCATCCAGGGAAAAAGATGGTGAGAGGTCTAAAGATAAAGAACTGGTTTCTAAATCTATGATAAGACACCTGCATAGCTCTCTTTTTATGTTTGGCAACTGGAAACTTCTGTCTCTTCGCCCACATTTCCACTTAACAGATCCATCTAATAATCAAGTTTACTGCAGATCATTAAAAACCTAGCTTTTGGGCCGGGGATTTAGCTCAGTGGTGCCGCGCCACCTGCCTCGTAAGCACAAGGTCCTAAGTTTGATCTCCGGTGCCAAAAAACAAAAACAAAAAACCTAACTTTCCACAACAATCACATGCTTGGCAATTTCTGTCCCTACAGCAATGCAAACCTCACCCATCCTAATGTGCAAGTGTCCTAAACCCTTTCTGGAGCAACTGATACTATAGTCCAGTGAAACTTTATTACAGTCGACTAAGTACATGCAACTTCCTTTCTTTTTTTTTTGGTTCTGGGAATTGAACTCAGGACCTTGCGCTTGTGAGGCAGCTTCGGTGCCACTGAACTACATCCCCAGCCCAGTACATGCAACTTTCAATAGCTGAAGGAATTACATAATTAAATCTATAGTCAAAGAAGGCAGCACTCTGAAACCAGGCAGAAATAGGGAACAACAATACATCCAACAGCAAAGAAAAATGGGCAATGATTTAATGAGCTCTCCTGTGCTACACTTCATACTATAAATCATTACTAAGGACACTGAGATACCAAAAAAATTCTCAGTAGCTAAAGGAATCTAAAAACTGAGAATGCAGAAAGAACAGAACAGAACAGAACAGAACAGAACACAGAGGAACAGAAAGGTCGGGATTTAGTTTTTGCTGTGGAATGCTGGGATTTGGAAGCAGCCTGGGCCCTTTCGGCTTGGAGAATTCCCAGTGCCTCTTTCCCTAGCTAAGAACTCAAACAGGCTTCACCCTGTCTGACACCAAAGGCTAAGCCTCTCAGCAAAGGATGCTGCAAAACAATCCCCTTAGGCAAACAGCAGTCTGCATTTTCATCGGGATGGATAAAGTGCTGGCAGAATACTGCTAAAGAGTAGGAAACAATCTGCTACTTCAGGAGCCAGGCTTTGTCTTCAAGACAAAACTGTACAAGGCCCTGGCCAGAAGCTCCCAAACCCTGTCTTAGGAAAGGAAAGAATCTGCCTCAGTCAGAACTATGATATAATCCAAGAGTTAGGATTTTGACCATGCTTTTTAAAAGTAAGTTTACTGGTAGACCTAGTATATCTATCATTAAGAAAACAGACCCTAAAGGTCCCAGAATATCCTATATTTACTTAGAAAGACAGACACAAATGGTTGTGAGCCACTCTAGCATGCCAATGTTTCCCCAAAAATGTTAAGTATATGGCTCTTCTACCTAGTGATTTGAAGACTCAGCTTCCAGTTAAAGTGTGGCACCATATTTTATATTCAGTAGAAGAGAAATGCACAAATTCCATTTGCACTTGAGAATAAGGAAGACCGCACAGTTAGAACTACAGTATTTACTTATTTATTTATTTATTTATTTTCAAGACAGAGTTTCACTATGCAGTTCTGGCTGGCCTTGAACTCACTATGTAGCCCAAGCTGGCTTCAAATTTGTTAGGATCCTCCTGCCTCAGCCTCCCAAGTGCTGGGATTACAGGCATGCTCCACCATGCCCAGCTAGAACTACACTTTTTAAAAGAAAGAAAAAAGCAAGGTGAGGTAGACAGTGGAAGGCAGGAGTGATGGGCATCAAGGGTGGGGAGAGAGATGAGCAATGAGAAAAGCCTGTAAGAGGGCCTGGGCCAGCCTCACCTTCATCCTCGCTTGACTTGCTCAGCTGCTTCACCAGCTTGGCTGTGTTGTTCTACAAGAGATGGGAGAAGAAGACAAGTAAATGCAGAGAGCAAACACAGCTCCCTCGGTGCTAACAACCCCACAAAAGCACCGGCTGTGAGTCCTTGATTGGTGGCAGCACTGATGAACTAGGTCACCTTTTACAAACTCTGGCAGCTAGAACATTCAAACCAAATCTTGATTCCAAATTCATCCCGAAAAATCCATTCTGTCAGTCTACTCTCAGGCCCCAGAGCGCCTCACATCAGTTGTGTGATCCGCAAAGGGTTAGGAGACTCAAGGTACCTGCTTGAGATGGTCCACAGTGAGCGGCAGGTGCTGGAGGGTCATCAGGATTTGCTGGAGGAGGGGAACATTGCTGGTCGTCTTGGAATACGTCAGCCAGTTGTTAAGAAGCTTGTAGCCTCCTACGTCAATGAACCTAGAGGCGGGCAGGAGCACACTTCTACCAGACGGCCTTCCAGGTCTCAGGCTGTCACCCCACCTTGCGGCCCCACAGACGACTGAGAACACCACGTCGCACACCCTCTGCAGTCAGAGGCTCCCCACTTACTTGATCAGTATTTCTGATGAGCGGGTTTGGAGCAGAATGTTCAAGTACGTGCAGCGACTCACCATCTTCCGGGCTTCCTTCATCAGACTGCGGAAGACAGACAGTCAGAGAGGAAGCAGGGTATGCTCCTCTCACAGCAGTGGGGCCTGCTCCACTGAGCGCCCAGACCTCACAGGTCCCTGCTCCAGAGAGGAGCCACACAGCTCTCCAGGGGCCTGGGATTCCTCCGAGATGGAAACCCACAGGGGAAGGAGCACAGTCCCTCTGAGGGGGGAGCGCTGCTCCTGCCTAACACAAAGGACACATGTGGGTCTGCCTCCAGCCCTCATGACCACCCCTCAGCAGCCTGCTCAGGACTGGCTTACATATTGGTTTTCCCTGGAAAACAGGATCTCCAGGATGTCCTAGTCTCCAGCTTGGTCATGGCTGGAAACCAAGGACTCATCTTTCCTATCTCTCACTCTAGGGCCAGAGATTTAGCTCAGTGGTTCTGCCACCTGCCTCGCAAGCACAAGGTCCCAAGTTCGGTCCCCAATACCAAAAAAACCCACCACCAACAAAAAGTGTCCCATCTCTCACCCTAAGATCAGTGGATTTGAACCCTCTTCTCCTTATTCCCCTCCCTCCTCTAGAACATGCACCTCTGTCTCGACTGGCCACATCCAACACACAGCATCCTCTACTTACAAATCCCAAACAGCCACAGGCTCACCTGAAGATCTTGGAAATCCCATCCACACTCTTGACTTCCCCATCTCGGTTTAGGAAGCTGTCCAGGCCCCTGAGAAGCTCTTTGGGGTCTATGGGCCCAGAACCCATGATTTTAGTTTCTGAAAACAAAATAAATCCACAGAATAAATGGGAGGAAGGACAGTCCCAGTGTGCCCTCCAATAAACCCTATCACTGTACCTGACAAAGGGGAGTACTTAATTCTATTTGTAATTAACTGCATTCAGCCATTCCATACAATTATGCTATTTCCTACATAATGGAAAGCCTGGTTTGACTCACATGGACCATCCCCACTGAGAACACCGCCTTGGCCAGGTAAGCATGGGTGAGTGCATGACTGAATGGCAAGGAACGGCCGAGGGCTGGGCAGCACTCCTGTGTCTCACTCCCAAGTTAGAGCCCTCTTGGGAAAGCTGGACTTCACTAGGTGACACTAAAGCTAAAATTCAAGTTCCTGTAAGAAGACATTCAACTTACATGGCACTTACTGTTAAGCCATTTTCCTTCATTACCGACAAATTTGGCCTGGAAAAAAGTCTAGCGTGATAAGAACTGCATCAAACTTAGGTGTTTGGGCTAAATGTCTCACAAGAGCCAATTTCCTTTTATCTTAGTCCTGCGTCAAAATCACCACTCAGTGGCAGATTGTGTCAGCTGAAGTGACAGGTGACAGAGTAACACTTGACAAGAGGACCCCTTTCTCAGAGGACCTGGGGAAAGCTCCCGGAAGCGGAGACAAAAGGATGCCTGGTAAACACAGGAGGTGCTCCTGAACCCTGAGTAATGCTGCTCTTAGCACATACTACATGCGTTTTATTCCTTAAAAATGATAGTTTGTGCCTCAAAAGCTCAATGCAAATCCGACCCTCTACTTCCCTCTAAGTATCAACTACCCAAGACCCCCAAGATAAGCCTAAAACTACAAATCATGGAACTGACCAGAAGAAACTAAAGACTGGCAAAGTGGTATAAATTTTAAACAGCTGCTTTAGACTAGGGTGGAAAAGGAGTTAATCAAAAGCTAAACGCTTTTAGGGAAGGGACACAAGTATGAAGCAACTTTTTACGCCAGAACCAAACTTCTAGAGAGGTAATTTAGAGTCAGTACGGTTCTGACTGGCACTTTATCCACACAACCTCTATCAACTCTGGCTTCTGAGAACCAGCTAAGACAGCCAATGCAGCAGCCTCCTTCTGGGTGGCACTTAGCAGAGATGAAAGGTGAAACCCAGAGGAGTGAAAAATCATTTTACCAAGACAATTATAGTTTGTGCAGAAAAGAACCTGGAACCTCCACAAAGATAAGCAGGAACTGAGGTCAGAGAAAGAAATATTCAGAGAGAATACTGGAAAATGTTAGAAGTTTGTGCCCAACTTAGTAAGATATGTAAGATAATGCAAATTAATGACATATTTTCTCAAACCAAAAAAAGAAAACACACATAAAAATTTCAACCTTTTGGTCCTCCCACCACGTAAGGCAATTTCTAGGTGTGTGGGTCCCAACAACCTCAGCAGGCAGGCGGAGGCAGAGATGCCGAGAGGCAGTGATTCTGGGCCGGCTGTCCTGTCACTCCCACCCTGAACCTCCACCAGGATAAGCGGTACCTGAGGTCTCAGGAAAACTACATTCAATACTGGAAAAGGTCAGAAGCTTGTGAGCCACATGCACAGAAGCATGGGAATTATTACACACAGACATAGGGAGAAAGGAGCTTTTCCCACGCAGTGAGATAAGCTACAGTGATGTGTAGAAACCACACAGAGATACAGATATGATATATAAAAAACAGACTTCCCACGTGTTGAACACTGGAAAAGCAACAATAGGTCCAAAGTCATATCCTGTATCACAACCAAGAGTCTAATTTTAAAAAATGTCTATACAAACATACACACACCATTAAGATTCCAAATCAAAATATTTACAATTTGATCAAAAGCCTTGAACTAAACATCTCAAACCAGGCCCCTCTGAACCCAGATTCAAACCCAGGCTGAATATACGTGATCTTGGAGAACTCTCTCCCCTGCTTCAGGAACCTGAGCTCAATGAAGAGGGAGAGGAGAGGAAAAGCCATTCTTAGAAGGACAACGGACCAATCAGTACCAAGCTGTGTCCACTGCCCTCTGCTGGGAATGGGACCCAGCCACTCTGCAATTCCCATTGTATACATAAGCTGGAATAAAAGACATGATAGTCAAGGAAGCTAGGAGACAAAACAGAAAATCAAATTCACTTCCAGTATTATTTTGGAAATGTAATAGAAATTGTCTTATGTGACATAATTTTAAGTGGACTTCCTCACAGTGGACTTTCTCACTTAATTAATAACCCTGAGTGTCAGCCAGCAGTTTCCTTACTTCAAAGTCGGCACATGCTGAGAAGCTCCCCCGCACTCAAGTGGAAAGCAATGCACAGAGCACAGTATCCTGGGCCAGGCCCAGAGAAGGCACCCGAGTGAGCCGGAAGGCAGGGACAGGGACCAAGTGTCCTGGAGCCTGGACTCCAAGCTGCAGGAAGCTTCCTGGAGCCAGGAAGGATCAGGACGGTTTAATGAGCAGCAGCACTACATGGAGGGGTGGGACATGATGCCCCACCACCTCCACCTTCGCAGGAGCCAGGCTTCGAGTGATGCTTCAGGCGAAGCTGTGCCCACTGTGCCGTCTTCCTCCTGCCTTCACAGTGAACTCCTTAGGCTTATTTAATACCTCGGCTCAAGTTATTCCACACCCACCACCAATGAAACAGGACAGATGTGGTTCAGGAAAAGTTCTGTACAAGGAAAAGCTCTTTAAAGAGCTGATCACAACCATCTTCCAATAAGAAGAAAGGGGGTCTCGTATTTATTTTAATCTAGAGGCCTTAGCATTCTGGAAATGAAAATGCTTTGTTCCTCATCCTCAGTGTTCAGGCATTTCCTAATGAGACTCAATGGTGGACTGGATTATGTCTCTTGGTGATTCACAAGGTCCTAAATTTCCTCTAAAGTGGCAACTACCTACTCAATCATTTTGGAAATCTGCTATGAAGCTGGGCGTGGTGGCACATGCCTGTAATCCCAGCACAAGGGAGGCTGAGGCCTGAACTGCATGGGGAGACCTTGTCTCAAAAAACAAAGTGATAAAAAAAGAAAATCTGGTATGTGATCACTCCAAAAGCTTATTTGCTTCTCAATAAAGATAAATCGCTTACACCATTGTCACACATAGGAAAGATCCCAAAATGTAACTCTGGCCTAGCGTGGTGGCGCACACTTGTAATCCCAGCACTTGGAAGGCTGAGGCAGGGGGATGGCTACAAGTTTGAGGCCAGCCGGGGGTACGCAGTGAGCTGAAGGCCACCCTGAACTACACAGTGAAACTCTGTCTCAAAAAAAAGAAAAAAGCATTTAGCCACAGACTACTCAGGTCGGTTCTCCGAGGCTCTCCGGATGGGCCTGGTTTCCCTAGCAGACCTCGGTTCCCATCTCCCACACTAAGGAAGATCTTCTTTATTAATCAACCCCAGCTCACTAGAGACCAGGACCCCAGTGGGTGGAATGCTCAGCTCCAAAGGTAGATAGGCTGCAGAGGCACATGGCAAACTGCTTGAAAGATAAAAAAAAGACTTGTGGTCAACAGACATGTGGAAGAGTCCCACCCATCCAACACAGAAGTTACAGAATTCGAGAATCTGTACCCAGCAGAAAATTAGCCCTAAGTCTCCCGCAAGTCACCCCAGCACAGGTGAACAAATGGCTCCTAGAAACTCCAAGCTTCAATACAGGACTTAAAAAAATGAGAAGTATATAGAGTCTGGCAAGATTAAGCTGGGGGAAGAGAGGTAAGAAAAGAACTGAAACCCAGTACCACCCTCAGACAGGGCATGGCTCTCAGCATGCATCCACTGCACAGCACTGCATGAGGGGAGCAATGAAGAGGACGTTAATTCTTTCATTAATCCTTTAAGAAATTCTTTTAGAAGGGAAGGAAAAAGAAATTCAAAAAGGTGGCTCTTTGGAAAAAAGAAATGAAGGTTGTGAAATGTAATACCAGAAATGTTTTGCTTACCAGAACCGTAGCTGGATTTCCCCTGCCTTGAGTTTACAACTGCCGTCTCCTTTCCTAAAGATTCACTTCTCATCCTAGTACCAATGTACAGGAACTAAGCACTGGAGAACGTGATTAAGCACTGGACACAAGAGTTTATCCCCAACTAGAGGTGGGAGTAACGGTGATTGAGAATAAACTTCTCAAAGTACCGACCCTCCCCGACTTCCAACACAAAGCAACCAAAAGCAGAAGGCTGCAGGTCTAGGTCCTGAGCAGAAACGTCAGAACTCAGTGTCATTAGGACTGTCCATAGTCACAAGCCTTTCCCATTCTCCTACAACACATACACACACAATCCCTCCTGCAGCCCCCCAGCCTTAAAGCACACTTGAGGTCTGACTGGCTTTGGCATTGGCAACAGAAGCAGGCTACACTTCCAAGCAGTTGTGATGAGTGGAAAGTTAAAATAAACAAAGACTGGTTGTTAAACATAAAAACTAGAGCTACTCAAGAAGGTCAGCCTGGAAACATAATTCCCATAAACTTTCATCCCTTTAAGAGAAAGGCTTTTAAAAGATTACATCAAAACGAGGACAACGCCTTCTCCCTAACTGCAAGGAGCACCGGGAGGCCGGGAAACCTTCGGAGCGGAGGGAGGGGTGGAGTTGTGAGAGGGTGAAGAGGAAGAAAGACGATTACATCACCGTCCAAGCAGACTCCTCCCCCTCGACCAAGGGCCGGGGCGGCCCTGAGCTCAAGATGGCAAAGGGAGAGGAACAACAGAGGAGGGAGGCCATTTTGAGAAGAGGACTCAGTTCGGATCCGGATAGGCAGGGCTCTGCTGGCAGCTACAATTAAGATTATAAAACACTCTTTCGTTAGAAAGAAAAAAAGCGAAGCCCGCCCCATGCTGAATATTTGACTTATTTTGAATCAGCATAATGAAAATAAAAGCAATTAAAATAGTTCAAAGAACAATTTTCTGCGGGGAAAAATTGAACTGCAACTGAAGTTCAATTGCTACCACCGACCACCCCCATCCTCCCTGTAAAGAGAAGGGGGCAGGATTTGGACCCCTCTCAACAAATAGGGTTGAGATGGGAGGACAGGAGAAAAACGGGTCAAGACATAAACTGCAACACCGCTTGGAAGACAAAAGGACAAGGAAAGTCGCCATATTGAAGCAGGGAAGAAAAAAATTCCTTTTAACGACACACATCTTTTAGAAAGCTAGCATTCAATTGCACTAAATGGCTTTTAAAGTTAACTCCTGAATTCCACATTTCCCAACCCTTCCGCCCTCTATTTCAGCTATATCCCCCAACCAAAAAGTATCAAGTTAAAAAAATGTTAATCATTTTTGCTTTCAAATAACCTACGCAATCTGCAACAATTACAAGACATTCTTTACCTCCCGATTAGCTTGTTATGTATTGATACTATATTTTGTCCTACATTAAGTGTCTTGCAATCTTTATTCCTAGATTGCCACCTATTTTCAACATACAATATAGCCCAAGCAAATTACATTGAAACCGAGAGGATTTAACAATCATTTAAAGCCATAGCCAGCTACTTTTCTCTGCCCATCTCCTTACCCTGCAATCTTTATGTACAGATTGCTTATTAATCTGGCAAATTGAAAGGCGCCCTGCTTGTCTCACACACAAAGAAGTGGGACTTCTGGGCCACAAGATCCACCATCTTTTGTATGTGAGCTCATTAACCCTTTTGAAGACTGCTGCTACCCAGAGGAAGGTAACCATTCCTCCTTATAAAAAGCAAACACATGCTTTGGCAGTCTGGAAATTGTCTGGATTACCAAGGGTTAACCATCAAAATTCTCACTTGCTGGCCCTCCCTGCACCCCCTCCTTGCCTGCAGCAGAGCAGGGAAGAGGTAGGTGGTAGGGGAGAGAAAACAAGACTCTTTAGACCCAAAGGCCCTTTTTAATGGAGATTAAGTGACCAAATTGGTCCCTTCTCCAGCTCTACATTTGTTCTATGGTCTCATTTCTTCCTCTCATTATTTTTGGTTTCACAACGGGAAACGTTGATTTCTTGTTGCAAGGCTGGTTTTTGAAAATTCGACACTTACTATCCAATTTTTTTGCGACGTCAGCACCTCGGGCTCAGGGGGGGAGGGGGCAAAATTTGGAGAAAAAAAATAAAACAACCAACCAGGACCCAAAACTCAATTATTTAGGGGGCCTCATTGGATCAAAAAGTCTCTTAAAAAAGAAAGGCCAACTCAGTATTCATTTTCCCCCCACCCGACTCCATTTAGGGAGGGGGGTCGTAGAAAAAAAAAATTCTGAGTGGATGCAAAAAAGTAAACGCTGGATAAGTGAAATTGGGTTGGGTTTGGGAAGGGAGGGTGGTTGATTATTTTTGAAGGTATGTGGTGACGGTCCTTCGGCCACAGATCTCAAGTCCCAAGCAGCGTGGGCTGGTGGGTTGGGCAAGATGGGTGGGCAAGGGCAGAAGACACAAGTGGTTGGGCTGGTGGCTGCGGTTTTCCCTTTCCCCCCTCTGGATCCTTTCAAGGGCTTAGATGTTGTTGCGGCTCGTTTCTGTTTTCCTCGTGGCCGGCCTGTCTTTCTCCGAGAAAATTCAAACCTGGGGTAAAAGGAACACAAGGGAGAAAGATACAATCAATCAGTTACGGGTCGCTTTTACAACACAGCAGAACACCATGTTTCGTCTCAAAACGCACCTCCACGGCCCACCCCGAACACAGCCACCTTAGCCAAGCCGTGGCTCCCAACCAGATCCGGTCCTACCCCACTTCCCAGCCCAAGGCACTACGCAAAAATCTACCCCTGTAAGTCACAGAACCCACAAACTTACCTCTAAACGAACTCCAGAATGGCGGCTGCCCGGGCGGGCGGAGTCTTTTATACCCGGACACCGCCCAACGCGCCCTAACGTGCTGGCTAAACGCCCTTGTCGGGAGACATTGTGTGCGAGGCGTGATTTTATTGGTCAAAGCGAAGGAAACCTTGCCAGCAGATTGGCTAGCCTTTGGACCGGCCCTTTCCCCGGCCCCAGCTTCCGCCTCCTTCTTGATGCTTGCGTCGCGTACGCGTGAGCAGAGACCCTAGCACCTCCCTTTCCTCTGTTTCCACCACTTCCGCCCCATGAACGTTTGTCACTCTGGGTTGGTAGAAACCGGAAGGCGCATGCGCAGTGAGAAGATCCCGCTCAAAAACGCCCTCAAAATTGCTTCTAAGATAAACGCTAAGTATGGAATCTCAGAGTCGTAGTGAGTTGTGCACAAGAAACGCAATTTTGAGGGCTAATTCGATTATGACGCAGTTGAAATTAGCTTCTGTCCACGGCCCCCCTTTGACGCTTACGTTGTGACGTAAACGCGCGGCCGCCTTCCGCACTGCAGACGCCGCTGCCCTACTGAGTCGGTTTCCTGGAGCATGCGCAGACCCCCGTACGTCAAGATGGCGGCCTCCGTATTTAACACGCTTCTCAGGCGGTATCTTACCCTTTCGCCCTTCAGAGGTTTCTACGGAGTTCAGGTAACTCCTTTTGGAGGGAGTCAGTAAACCCCGACCTAGTTATACTTTACTTAAGTCGTCGTTTCATTCTCTTCTCTCGTGCTTGTGCCTCAGCTGTGTAGGTAACTTAAGTCCAGGATCATCACCTTTAGCCTGATACTGGGTGACTTTTCTAATCTTGAGTTGATGGCTTCAAGCTGGTTGGATATCATTCTCTCCCTGAAATACCGCCTTTTTTTGAGGGAGGGGAGAGGTTGAGGCGGGGTCTCCCTTAGTAGTTCAGGCTGGCCCTGATCTCACTGTGTAGCCCAGGCTGGCCTGGAACTCGAGGCAGTCCTCCTGTCTCAGCCTCCCAAGTGCTGGAATTACAGGCATGGGCTACCACGGCCGGCTCCCGAAATACCATCTTGACAAAGTAACTAGGTGGAGGCATTATCCACTTGGTAATGCACAACCAGGTCTTAACTTGGTAGATAGTGTCAAAAATCTGTGATGCCCCGGAGTGTCCTGGAATTGAAGGGCCGCAATTTCTTCCAGCCTTGCAGTCTATCACCCATTAAAGGATATATTCTCAGGACCTAGGAACCAGTTTCTCAGCTTTATCTTTAAACCCTTTTTTTTTTTTTTTTACCAGGGATTGAACTCAGGACTTTGGGCTTGGGAGGCAGGCCCCAGAACCACTGAGCTAAATCCCTGGCCCCCTAAACCCATTTCTTATCAAAGCTTTCGAGAATTTAATTTTGCCCTTTGGATTGAGGTTTTACTCACCACCCTGGAGATTCTTGGTAGATCAGGGTAGGGCAGATTCTTGGTGGGGCAGGGTGAGATAGTGGCAGTAGGAGAAACTGCCGCTCCCTACAGTGTGACTTGAGAGTGCTAACAGAGGTCACCATGGAGCTAATGACCGAGTGGAAGCTTTAAAGCTAGCGTTAGGACTCAAGTTTGTTTTGCTGTGTGGTATGTTGGCCTTCCAACTTCGTGTAAAACTGGGCATCATCTCAGTGACTTGGATTTGTTTGTTTGTGTTTTTGGTACCGAGGATCGAACTCTGGAAGGCACTGGAACCACTGATCTAAATCCCCAGCCCTCAGTGACTGGGATTTGAATTAAACTGGATATAAACCTTCCCTGTTTACTCCTCCCCACCATACATCTTACTTCCGAGAGACTAAACATTCCCTTTTTCTTCTTCTCCAAGACTCAGTTCATCCCCCAAAACACAAGTGCTCTTGTGTGCTAGGTTTTGAAATTGTTTTAAATAAGATTGCTTCTCAGGTACCTATCCTAATTATCTATGTTAGCTTCTTAAACCATGCATGGTGGGGCACATCTGTAGTCTCAGTACTCGAAAGGCTGAGCCAGGAGAATCACCTCGAGTTCGAGGCCAGCCTGGGCTACATAGTGAGCTCAAAGTCAGACTGAACTACATAGTGTGATCTTGTGTCCAAAAAAAAAAAAAAGTGAAGAACAACCAAATGTTACCTTCTGTTTTAGGATCCAATTGGGGATAGGGAGAGTTGATTTAGAGGGGATTTATAGGAAGAGTTGGTAGGGATTGATTTATGTCATTTTGACCTCAACAAAAATACTACATATTCCTGCTAAATTACATTAACATGGTTGATATGCATTCCTCCTCTCTCCAAAGTGTGAGCAAAACAGTTGAGTCCTTTCCTTGAACTCAGTGTCTCACTGTCTCATTTCTCCCCTCTTTTACAGGTTCCCCTCCAGACTTTTTGCACTGAAGCTCCTCCTGGAAAAGATTCTTTGCCCCCAGCTCCTCTTTCCCCTTATGAGAATGAGCCCTGGAAATACCTGGAGTCAGAAGGTACCCTAAGTGGGGAGGGGTCAGATGGGGTCTGAGGTAATGGACATAGATAATCCCTCCAGCAGCAATTTGTCTGCTCTGTTTCAGAATACCTGAGCCGCTACGGTTCTCGCCCCATCTGGGCTGACTACCGCCGCAACCACAAGGGCAGTGTACCCCGTCAGCGGACTCGGAGGACATGCATTGTGAGTTTCTGAGAGCAGCATGTGGAGTGGGGAGCAGGAACACTTTGACAAGGCTTTGAACATCTCACTGCCAGTTTCTTTTTTTCTACAGCGTAAAAACAAAGTTGCTGGGAACCCTTGTCCCATCTGCCGGGATCACAAGTTGCATGTGGACTTTAGGGTAAGGAGAATCTCTCATCAGAATAAGGGTTGGGAGCCTCTTTGCAGTCAGTGCCACATACTTCCTCATGTCCTGGCAACCCTACAGTCAATTTTGTAGTGAATGTTTCTGGAATACAAAAGCATTCTCTAGCCTTTTGCCCTCTATTATGGATTGCACTAGTTTTATCCCATGTCCACAAGATACATAGTTGGCAGGAAAGCAAAATGCCTATTTTTGTTGTTGTTGTTGTTATTGTTTATTTTGGTTTTTTGAGACAGGGTCTCCCTATGTAGTTCAGGGTGCCCTTGAACTCACTGTGTAGCCCAGGCTGGCCTCGAACCCCTGGTGATCCTCCTGCCTCAGCTTCACAAGTGCTGGCATGACAGGCATGTGCTACCACACCTGGCAAAAAAATTCCTGTTTGTAGTGGAACAGCAATGCCCAAAGATTAATTTCTGTTAGAGTTGTTAGCAAGTGTTGGTCTACTTTTTCCTGTAGTTTTCTCTTTCATTGTTCTGTCTGCTGGGTATGCTGAGACCTGCCAAGTACATTGGCCTACTTTATTCCTGTGGTTTTCTTTATTTCTTGGTCATGTTTTCTGGGTATGCTAGGATGTGGGGCTGGAGATCAGAGATAGGAGGCTTATTGTACAGTCTAGGGAACTTTTTAAAGAAGCCTTCAACACAGTGAGGAGGACAGGACTTGCTCCTTAAAGAAATTGAAAGCATATTATACATACCAATAGTGCTTTTCTGAGCTGGCAGTGAGGGTATTAGCACACGCTGTCTGGCTGGACATCAGGGGTTGGAGGGCATTTGTGCATCAGTCAGTAGATGGGGACATCTGCAGCCCCACAGCCCTCTGACACGGGTCTCAGGGTGCCCTGTAGATGCCTTCCTGGTTCCAGCTGTGTACGATGGGTTATGAAGGGAGTGTAACGAAGTGTAAAACCAAGAGAGAGCAGCAAATTGAGGAGGGCTGATGATTCTGCCTACCACGCCACTCCACAGATGCACCTGCTTTTCCTCAACTCTGCTTCTATGGTTGATTTGCTAGCTGAGACTCATTCTATGTAATCAAAACTGTGAAACTTCTTAGTTGGTGTATAAATCCTTCAGCATATTACAGTATTTTAATCATTTACACATACATAAATCAACACTATTTTGGGGGTGGTTTCTGGCTGGCTTTAGAATGTGACTGTGTAGAAGAAAGTTCTGTGTGAGTCTAGTACCAACATGCAGGGTGTGCGTGTGAAATGACAGCAGTTGTGAACTGATGGGTTTCCTGGGCCCAGAAGGAGGGGGTGTTTCAGGAAGAGTGCACTGGGGAGACGGGATTCCTTCTCAGGCCCAGAGGTCTGCCTCTGTCCCTGCCTCTCCTCCTGTTCATTGTTCTCCTTGCAGAATGTGAAGCTCTTGGAACAGTTTGTCTGCACCCACACGGGCATCATCTTCCATGCTCCGTACACAGGTGAGCCTGTCATCCCTGTCACCCCAGGACAGCTCTGAGTCACTGGACAGTGGTTATTTGGTGGGTGACATACAAAGTGCAGTTGAACCTTTTGGAAATCTCAGTGGAGATACTCATTCTAAAGCTATTACGTGTGGAGAAAAGATACAGACAAGTATCTCCGTGAGCATTGGTCAGTGTGGTCCTTAAAAGGTAGATGGTAGCCCGGCATGGTGGTGCATGCCTGTAACCCCAGCAGGAGAGTTGCTATGAGTTTGAGACCTACCAGGGCTACACATTGAGTCTAAGGCCAGCCTGAGCTACATAGCAAGACCCTGTCTCAAAACACAGAACAACAGCAACAAAAGTGTGTTCTCGAAACAGACAGTGTTAGAGTTGTGTGGCTGAGACGGAGCCCACAGGACCTGCAGAAACTAACTTACATTTACTTTACGGCCTGTACAGAAATATTTTGCCAGGGGGCTGGGGATGTAGCTCAGTGGTAGAGTGTTTACCCAGCATGTGGAAGGCCCTGCATTCAGTCCTCAGTACCACACAAATATTTTGCCAGCACCTGCTCTCAAGCAAGATAAATTTGCAAAGAATAACCTGAACTCCCTGTAACGGGTTGGCACCATGATCAGTGTTCGGCTTGTCAGGGAGTTTTTCCTTGTACTGTGGATGACTGAAGGCTGCTCACTCAGATCACCTTCCCTAGAATGGAAGCCTTTTTTCCCTTAGTGGGCCCATCTCGGGATCGTCCAGTTCAACCCTTTCATCACACTTGCCTGGGATTGTGCTCCCTCTCCTTTTTTTTTTTTTTTTTTTTTTGAGATAGGGTCTCACTATGTAGTCCAGGCTGGCCTTGAACTTGTGGCAATCCTCCTGCCTCAGCCTCCTGAGTGCTGGGACTACAGGTGTGCGCCACCACTCCTGGCTCTGCCCCCTTTCTTGCAGCCTTTACCATAAATGGTTTTTCTGTAGTGGCTAAGGCGCTGAGTCATCCCAGCTAACAGAGAGGGGGAGGACTCTTCCATTTAGGCAGAGGAGGTCATCAGGCCCCATGAAAGGGTCACTAGGCAACTCGGTCCTCCACATCCAGCCCTGGCATCACACAGAAGCAGCTGTGCACCCTCTGTACTGAGCCTCATTGATGTGCACCTGGTTATTTCTCTCTCTGCAGGGGTCTGTATGAAGCAGCACAAGAAGTTGACTCAGGCCATCCAGAAAGCCCGGGATCATGGTGAGTGTGAGAACGGCAGTTTCGTCGGGTGTAGGAAGGGGATGCGGGCCTGGAGCAGGTCCTGCATACGAGTGCCCTCACCTCCCTGAGAAAGTGCTGCCCATGTGTTCCTTCCCAGATACCGGTAGCCTCACTTCCTGTCCCCATCCCCTCCTGAGTCTGTTGTCATGTTCCTATCTCCTCACTCATCTTTCCTCTGTCCTCGTTTTACAACCGATGTTCCCGGCGCAGTAGCAAGATCATAGGAAGATCTTTGTGTGCATTTCCGGCCCTGGCTCCTGGCCCCTTTGGACAGGTTGGCGTAAGGTGCCACCCACTGCCAGAGTGGATATGGTGCTGTGGCCCTGGGCCAGGGCACCCAGTTTGGCAGGCCGGATCCTAGGCAGGGTATCACTGGCGTCGGCTCCTAGGCCTGCTGCTCTTGTGCCATACACAACATGCATGAAGGCACCAGGGGCTCTAACTAGTCCTCCATTATGAAACCTTTCTGTTGTCTGTCTCACCGTGAACTGCCTCTCCTCACGCCCCCCTCTTTTCCCAATCTCAGGGCTCCTCAGTTACCACGTTCCTCAGGTGGAACCCCGGGACTTGGACTTCAGTACGTCGCATGGGGCTGTGAGTGCTACTCCGCTGGCCCCTACACTGCTTTCGGGCGACCCCTGGTACCCCTGGTACAGCTGGAAGCAGCCGCCAGAGAGAGAGCTGTCCCGACTTCGCCGGCTCTATCAGGGCAGTCTCCGAGAAGAGAGTGGGCCACCCCCTGAGGCCATGCCCGAGGAGCCCCCTGTGTCCCCAGCTGAAGCCACCTGTGCTGAGCAAAGCCCCTGAGGGCTCTGTAGGACTTGGACACTGGGAAGAGAGTCTGAGGGGTCGGGTGGGGCCCTGAGAAGCTGTCTTACTGAGCCGAGGCGAGGGCAGGCCCGGGAGGAAGCCATGTTGAAGGGTGGCTGTGGCTTTGGTGGAGGGAGGGCAGTGCACATGCGTGGGTGCTGTGACGGGCTCAGCGCCTGGGCTTTTGAACCTGTGCTGTTTTCCACAATAAAGCTGCAGCTCCTTCTCTGGCTCATTTTGCACTGGGTTTCAGATGAGAGCCTCTGAGGGCAGGGCAGGTGAGTGCTGGGTGCTCTTTAGTGTTTGTTTATGCGGGGCGTGAGGGTGCATGCTGTAATCCCAGCACTCCGGGCACTCTGGAGGCTGAGGCAGGAGGGAGATCAGGGGTTCCAGGCCAGCCTGAACTACAGGGCAAGACCCAGTCTCAAACCCAAAAGATAAAATGAAATATTTACGTATGTGTTTATTGTAGTACTGGAGATTGAACCCAGAGCCTTCGTACTACATCCGCAATCATTTGTTTTCAGTTTTCAGACAAGGCCTTTGAAGTCCCCAGGCTTGGTTTGAACTCGGGATCCTTCCAGCTCAGGCTCACAGAGTGCTGGGATTTCAGGCAGGCGCGTGTGCCTGGCCTTTTCCCAGACACCGTCCTGCTGTATAGCCCAGGCTGGCCTCAGAGCTCGCAACCCTTCTGCGTCCTGGGGTCACTGGCGCGGCCGTGCCCAGCGGCGGGTGCTCTTTTCCCGGAAGCGCGCTACTGCTGCGGGCAGTGATCAGGCTTGCCCTTGTCCGCCCGGCCAGGACCGGAAGCGGAGGACTGGCCGTTGGCTGTTCTGCCTGTGGCCGAAGTGCCCGCCCTGTCCGAGCGCCCAGGGTTGCCTTGGCGTCAGAGGCGCGGCCGGCGGGGCAGGAGTCTTCTCCGGAAGCCCGGGTGGGGGCCGGGGCCGCACCCTGCGGTTCTGGAAAGGGCGGGCCCGCGGCAGCGAGGGAGGCTAGCGAGGGAGGAGGGGGGGGGGGGGGGGCGGAAGTGACGTCGCGCGGGGCGGGGCGGGCCGCGCACAATGGGCCATGGAGTTCCCTTTCGATGTGGACGCGCTGCTCCCGGAGCGGATCACTGTGCTGGACCAGCACCTGCGGCCCCCGGCCCGCCGACCCGGAACCACAACGCCTGCCCGGTGACAACTCAATCCCGCCCCGTGGCCCTTCTTCCCCCGTTCCTCTCCAAACCCGGTCCAGGCACCACGCCCCCTTCTTTCTGACTGGTGGCCCCTCCTTTGATGTCCTGGCCTAGCCCTTTGACCCTAAACCCGGTGGCAATGCTTGGATTTGTGACTTTTCACACCGTGGCCGATGCGGTCCCAACCCTTCCTGCTTCCCGTAGTAACCTTAAGGGAGGAAGGAGTGTACCACCTGGAAAGGTGTGAAGAAAGTCTGGGTTCCAAAAGGGTGGTGTGGGAATTCAGGTCGGAAAACTCCCAGGCACAGGCAGGGAAGCTGGACGTTTGAACCCGGCTGGAGTTGAGGCTCTGGTTCCCGGGACCCTCCACTTCAGTATCTGACTATGTCTCCTTTCTTTCCAGTGTTGACCTGCAGCAGCAAATTATGACCATTGTTGATGAACTGGGCAAGGCTTCTGCCAAGGTACAGGGAGTCTGGATGGAGTCAAAGAGGAACCACTGTGGAGTTGCAGATAAGGGAAACCTGGGTCCTTTGGAAGGGACTTGTGGAAAGTGCCTTCTTCATCTTCTCCACAGGCCCAGCATCTTCCTGCTCCAATTACTAGTGCAGCAAGGATGCAGAGTAACCGCCATGTTATTTATGTGCTCAAAGACACTTCCGCCCGACCGTGAGTGCCACATACACCTTTATCCCATTCTTTTTTTTTTTGGTACCGGGGATCAAACTTGGGTCCTTGCGCTTGTGCAGCAGGCGGCGAAACCGCTGAGCTAAATCCCCGGCCCCTTTATCCCATTCTTAACGCCTTGCTCCCTCAGCCCTTCCGCCTTGACTCTACCTCCAGGCAGCTGCCACTGGCTTGTTCATTGTTGTCCTCATCCTACAGGGCTGGGAAAGGATCCATTATTGGTTTCCTCAAAGTTGGATACAAGAAGCTCTTTGTACTGGTGAGTGTTACTGGAAGCTGGGGAACTGTATGCCTTGGTTCCAGAGAACAAGAGTGCTGGAGGCTGAGGGGTGACAAAGGTGCCTGGCTCTCTAAAGATATTTATTGTTCTTTATCTCTTAGGATGACCGCGAGGCTCACAATGAGGTAGAGCCACTCTGCATCCTGGACTTTTACATACACGAGTCACTGCAACGTCATGGCCATGGGCGAGAACTCTTCCAGCATATGTTGCAGGTACCGTAGGCTCTACTCAGTTCACCTAAAATAAAGATTCTTTGCCCTAAACCCTTCCAGAGGCCCTGCCACCCCCCGTCCCACAGCGTACCTGGCTCCTGACTTCCTCTTGGCATGGTTTCCCCAAACCTCCTCCTACCCCGAGCCTCCTGTTCCCTGCAGAAGGAACGGGTTGAACCACACCAGCTGGCCATTGACCGGCCCTCACAGAAGCTGCTGAAGTTCCTGAATAAGCACTACAACCTGGAGACCACAGTCCCACAGGTCAGGAGCTTGGGGGTAGACCCCCACTGAATATTCCCATTGCAGAAAAGAAGTGGCCCCTTCCAAGGGCTCCTTATTCCCTGTGGGATCGAGCTAGGCCCTTTCTTTTTCCTTTGGTGCCATTATTCCTGCACAGCCATTTCACCTTCATGGGTTGTTTATTATACCTCATTTGTAACCCCAACTTCACCACTCATTTTCACTCAGTCCATTACCCAGTCAGCTAATATTTATTGAAGGTTCTGAATAATATATATTCCTTTTCCTCGGGGAGCTATGGTGCAACATGTGGAAGGTGATCTTGTTTATAAGTACAGTAATGTTATTAATGCTATACATTCATTCAGCAAATATTTATGGAGCACCTGGCGTTGTGGACACTGGGGATGCTTTACTCAATGAAACAGACAAGTCACCCCTTGTGGAGCTTATATTCTAGCTGTTTATGTTACATGGACAAGTAAAGTATGTGCTGTGGTTCATAAGCACTGGAAAATGAAAGCAAGTACGAAGGCTTGGGAGTGCCAAGGTGGGGGGATGAGAGCCCGGGACTGCAAGTTCACATGGGGCATTCAGAGGCGACCTCACAGAATGTGTCACTGAGCAGCAGTTTAAGGAAAGTGAGGATCTGGGCTGGAGGTGTAGGTCAGTGGTAGAGTCCTTGGCTAGTATGGATGAAGCCTGGGTTTAATCCTCAGCACCAAAGAAGAGGGACAGCATCCAGGACAGAGGAGCGGCCTCTGAGAAGGCTGGGAGGCAGGGCTGTGGCTAGCTGGAAGAGCAGTTTAGGGAGGGACGGGTGCTGAGAGCTAAGAGGGAATAGAAGGAGGACGTCCAGGCCTTGGCATGTTGCTGCAAAGATTTCAGCATTTACTCGAGTGAAAAACAAGGGTACAATGGCTATGATCTTGTCATGTGTAACAAGTTCATTTTGGCTCCTGTGTGAAGAACACACAGTGGAGATGTGGGGTAGACAGTTGGGCTCCCTCTGAAGACGCCTGAGGGGAAGGATTGGGGCAGAGATTTCAGCATATGCATGGCACTGAAGCAACAAGACAGGATGAGATAACCAAAGGAGTAGTACAGACTGAGACGTGGTCTAAGGACTTGAGCCTTTGGGGACTTTTTACAAAGACAGGACAGGAATGACAGAAGGCAGGGTCAGCAAGTGCAGCAAGGAGACCCTAGTGCTGGAGGTGGAAACTTACAAGAGAGGTGACCTGGAAGGCCACTGAAGCTTCCAGAAGGGAGGGATGGTTCTTGGTGAGATGCCGCTGCTCAGTAAGTGCAGAGGTCTTCGAGGTGACTGCCAGGTTCAGCTGTCTGGGGCTACTGTTGGTCCTGATGAGCTGCTTCAATGCAGCGGTAGGGGCCGGGGATTTAGCTCAAGTGGTTTTGCCGCCTGCTGCGCAAGCACAAGGACCTAAGTTCAATCCCCAGTACAAAAAAAAAAAAAAAAAAAAGTTGTCAGTGCAGCGGTAGATGGGAGCCTGGATGAGGTGGGTATGGGGGACTGACAAGCTGGGAGCCGGAAACAGCAGGTGGCCACCATAAGGGCAGCAGGTGTAGCTCAGTGGTAGAGCACAAAGCACTGGTTCTGAGTCCAACAATGCAAATAAATAAATAAATCCCACTTCAAGGGGAATAGGTAAGCAGAGTGATAGCTAGAGGAGGAAGTGGATCCAGAAAGGGTTAGTTCTTTGTGGCTGGAGGAACAACAGTAGGAATGATTCTAGAGGGGAGGGAAGAGGAAGTAAAAAGAATTAAGATATGTCATCTATATCGCCAACTCCTCATGATGAAAGTAATCATTAGGTCCTGTAAACATGGGCTAGTAACATTAAAAATCTGTCAAACAAAAGAATGAGTCCAAAAAGTACAAAACAAAAATTAATGTGTAGAGAGAAAATTCAATGCTGTGAGGGTGGGTGATGCCTGTCGTCCTGGTTCTTGGGAGGCTGAGGCAGGATTGACATTGAGCTCAAGGTCAGCCTGAACTACATCTGGAGACTCTGTCTCAAGCAAAAAAGAAGCAGTCATCCATTCCCCTTCGCCCAGCTTCTGACAACGACTTATCTGGCATTTGGATTTCCTTATCTTGGACGTTTCATATACATAGTATCATACAGTACATGGCCTTTTGTCACGTCTGATTTTCTGCACTAAGCATCATGTTTTGAGAGTTCACGGGCTGGGGATTTAGCGCAATGGCACGGTGCCTGCCTCACAAGGTCCTAAATTCAATCCTGTTACCCCCCCACCGCCACAAAAAAAAGAGAGCGTTCATACATGCTGTAGCATATGACAGCACTTAATTCCTTTTTATGACCGAATACTATTCCCTTATGTGGACATCTTTTTTTTTTTTCTTTTGGTACTCGCAATGGAACTCAGGACCTTGCTTGCGAGGCAGGCAGCGGCCACTGAGCTAAATCCCCGGCCCTAATACTGTTTAGGTTTTTATGGAACTGACGAGCTGTTTGTCTTCAGTAGCTGCATCACCTTACATCCCCACCAGCTCTGTGGCGTGGTCTAGTTTCTCTGCCTTCTTAATACGGTTTTCCCTCCTCCCTTGCCAAGTAGCAGCCATCCTCATGGGTATGAGGTGGCTATCTTTTGTAGTTTCCATTTACATTTCCCTAATGACTAATGATACTGAACATTTTTATCATCTTTTTTATCTGCTTATTGGCTGTATCTTCTTTGGATCTTGTTTGGAGAAATGTTTGGTTTTTGCCAATTTTTAAATCATGTTATCTGTGTTTAAATTGTAAGATTTTTATATGCAAGGTAGTATAGATACAACACCCTTATTAGTATATGGTTTGTGACCATTTTCTCTCATTCTGTGGAGTTTTTGCTTTGCTTTGTTTTTCAGTATTAGCAATTGAACCCAGACTTCTTACATTTTATTTATTTATTTATTTATTTTTGGTACCGCAGATCAAACTCGCTTGTGGGGCAGGTGGCGTACATTTTATTTTGAAATAGGGTCTCACTAAGTAGCCCAGAACTTGTGATCTTCCTGCCACAGCCCTCCTCAGGCCTGCTTTATTTTTAACTTTGAGACAGGATCTTGCTAAACTGCCCAGGGTGGCCTTGAACTGGCAGTCCTTCTGCCCAAGGGTCCCTGATAAGCTGGGTCACCTTTCCTTGACAGTGTGTTTGAAGCCTAAAAATTTTACTTTTCTTTTTGGTACTGGGGATCGATCTCAGGTCCTTGCTACTTTTGTTTTTAATTTTGATGAGATCCAATTCATCTGTTTTTCTTCTCTTCCTTTACTTTTGGCATCATATTTAAGAAACATTTGCTTGGGCCTAGAGGTGTAGCTCAGTGGTAGTGTGTGCCCAGCATGTGCGAGGCCCTGTTTCATCCCCAGCACTGAAAAAAAGAAAAGGGCCCTTGTCTATTGTGTCTGAATTTTAGGAGCAGCTTGTTGGGCTTGGGCCTGTCACAAGGGTTTGTCCCTTCCGCTCTGGCTTTTCTGGCACAGGTTCCATACTCAGGTAAGTGTCAAGTGGGTGAGTGGCCAACTCTGTCTCATCTGCTGCTGCTTCTTCTAGGTGAACAACTTTGTGATCTTTGAAGGCTTCTTTGCGCATCAGCACCGTAAGTCTTCCCCCACATTGGTCCTGCAGCTGGGTGAGGGAAGGACAGAATGGGCTGCTGTCCTGCGGCCCCCACTGAGGGGCACATGCTTCCTTCCCCACAGGGCCCCCCGCTCCCTCCCTGAGGGCCACGCGACTCTCTCGTGCTGCCGCAGCAGACCCCACACCCACTGGTAACCCCTGCATCAACTGGGTGGGACTTAGCACAAGGGCCTGGGCAGCGCAGTCTTGGGCAGCTCTGGAAGCCTCTGAAGCAGCCCGGGTCTCCAGCACTCATCCTCTTTGCCTTTGCCCTCACAGGAGCTGAGTGCATTTTAGATTTTTATTTTTTGGTGCTGGGGATTGAACTAGGGACCTCATGAATGCTAAGCCTGAGCTCTGCCCCTGAGCTGTAGCCCCAGCCCAACACCTGGTGAGATTTTTAACAGGCAGACTCATTCAGACTTTGCCAAAGAGTTGGTAGCAGTGAGCCTCCTGTTGGGTCAGATCTGGCAAAAGGCCAGACTCACCGTCCTTTGTAAACTCCTCAGGTCTGTCAGCGCTGCGGGACAGGCAAGTGCAGACAGCCTTCCACTTCTGGCCTTAGAAGACTGACATGAATGGCCCATAGTTAAATATTAGGTTTAGAAAATAATGTTCATTTCTGATATTTTCAGTCAAATCAGGAAATTTGTCTGGAAAAACCCAAGGTACAATGCCACTGCATTTGTGTGCCATTCCTACAGACAGGCGATGTCCCTGCTTGCAGCTCCCACTTCACCTGCGACAAGAGAGGGAGCATGTGCCACCCAAGGGCAGTTTGCACCTGTCACAGGCCTCTGCCAGTGCCAGAGCTGAGGCTGGGCTTCATAGCCTTGCTCTGCTTTGGTTTCCACTTCCAGCAGTGCGGGTGCACGAGCCCCAGGGACGGGGACACAGATCTGCAGACAGGACAAAGCTTAGGAGAGCTCTCGAAGACGACTCTTTTGCCATACACAATGGAGAACCCCTTCAGAGGAAGGGGAGGCAGAGCTTTGGCCAGTAGGTCAGCTCCCACTTACTTAACAAGTCCGTGGTTTTGTTTTTTTTTTGGACTGGGAATCGAACTCAGGACCTTGCACTTACAAGGCAGGCGGTGGAACCACTGAGCTAAATCCCTGGCCCTTGACAAGTCCTTTTCAGATGCCCACATTTTCTCATCTTAAAAAAAAAAATCTAATAAAACTTTACTTTCTTTACATCGTTTTGCACAGGAAGGAGAGGTCCTGCCCCACCCTTCCCTGCCCCTGCCTCTCCAGAGCAATTCCCAGTTACCCAAGGGCTTTATCCATCTCATCTGGAGGAGCCCAGGGTCCTCGCTGGCATAGCTGGGACTGTCCCACTGCCCTGGTACCCCCAGGGGGCCTGCCAGCACCAGCAGACAGTAAGCTCGCTCCCCTCGCCTGCCTTCTCCCATACCTCCCAGGCTCCGGTCTGCCCTGGGCTCTTTCTTCCTTGATTCCTTGTGGCCTACTCCTTCTGGCTCTCCCTAAATTGCTCCAGCATCCCCCAGATTCCCTGTGTGTGCTGGTGGGGCCACGCACGGCTTCTGGATCGCTCAAGAGGAACGATGGTGTCAGGGAGCAGAGGTCTGGGGCAGTGGGGGAAGGGTGCAGTGTATGTCTCCTAATGCCTCCCTCGCCTGATCCCACCTCCCCCCCAGCTCCAGCCAGGAAGCTGCCACCCAAGAGAGCAGAGGGAGACATCAAGCCATACTCCTCTAGTGACCGAGAATGTAAGAGGTGCTGGGGCAGGGTGGCTGGGCCTTGGGACCCCTACATGAGCCATTATGACTTCCTTTTTCTCCTCCGACTTGCTGTTTTTCCTCCCCATCCCCAGTTCTGAAGGTAGCTGTGGAGCCCCCTTGGCCCCTAAACAGGGCCCCGCGCCGCGCCACCCCTCCAGCCCACCCGCCCCCTCGCTCCAGCAGCCTGGGGAACTCGCCAGAACGGGGGCCTCTCCGCCCCTTTGTGCCAGAGCAGGAGCTGCTTCGCTCCCTGCGCCTCTGCCCTCCACACCCCACTGCCCGCCTTCTGCTGGCCACTGACCCTGGAGGCAGCCCAGCGCAGCGTCGCCGGACCAGGTATGGGGCTTCAAGGGCCAGGAATCCTCCTAACCTGGTCGTGGTGGTGCATGCCTCTGATCCTGGCACTCTGGAGGCTAAGGCAGGAGGATTGAGCCCAGCTGGAGCAACTTAGCAAGACCCTGTCTCAAAATTCAAAATATTTTTTTTTTGGTACCGGAGATCAAACTCGGGTCCTTGAGCTTGCGCAGCAGGTGGTGAAACCACTGACCTAATTCCCTGGCCCAATTCAAAATATTTTTTAAGAAATGGCTGGGGGTGTGTAGCAGAGGCCCTGAATTCAACTCCCATTACCTACCCCCCATAAAAGGGTTAGAAATGGCAAAGAGTAATTTGAATTTGTTAGAGATGTGAAACAGTGAGTCTCAAAATCTTTCAAGAAAGATATATTGAAGTATATTTGTAGAAGTGGTTTGATAGAGACAAAGAGCAAAATAGGGCAAGGGAGGGAAGAACTTGGAAATCTGGCAGGGGGGTGCTGAACTTTGTGACAGGGAAAATCATGGTCTAACACTTGCTGGGGATGGGCAGCATCTCCTGCAGATTGGGTCCCAGGGTCAATGCTGTAGATGCCAAGACCCCTTTCCAGCAGCATGGGGTGGGCATCTCCTTTGTTTCTTGCCCTGGCTTTCTCTTCACCTCTGACTTCTCTGTTTTTCTCTCTCCCCCGTCTTCCCTCTCCCTCCTGTCCATTACTTCCTCCCAGCTCCCTTCCCCGCTCTGATGAGAGTCGATACTGACAGCTGCCCCCTTCCTCCCTGGGAGACTGGGGCAGGCAGAGACCCCTCTCCCTGAGCAGCTCAGACCCTGCTTCCATTGCATCCTCCAAACCCAGTGGACCCTGTCAGAGCCCTAGGATTTCCTCTTCCTCTCAGACAACTAGGTTGTCAGGGTTCAAATGGCTTAATACTTTGTAGCTTTTCTAATCACAGAAGGGACCCCTGTTGCCCCAACCTGGGCTCCGCTCTCCACAGCCTGATCTGTTGCCAGACCCGATGCTGGGGTGCTCAGACCACCTAGAGAAGCACAGGCTTACTTACCCATCAGACTAGACCACATGTTAGACAGAGGCCTCCTCTGCCAAGGAACCCTTTTCAGGATTTCCTGTCCGTGGAATAGTCCCATACACTGCTCTGTGGTGCCAGCCAATGCACAAGCTCTGCTTCTGAGCAGCCCAGCTAGGTAGGACAGGGATTCAGCAGCTCCCCAGTGGGGTCTGCTCAGTGTTGCCAAACTCTTCATTCCCCCGTGTTTTGTCAGGGAGCCCCCAAACTCATGTTGCTCTGGGGGTCTCTAAAGGAGATCCACTGATACTACCATTTCTCCCGGATCCAGACTCTCTGAAGGAGTTTACCTTTTGGCAGTGGATCCCAGCAAATAACTGGGATCACTCTCAGCCATGTCTCTGAAATTTTATTTAGATCCTGAACTGCCCTTGAGTCCATCCCTCCCTGGTAGCTATGCTCATTCCCTGTCTGGTGAGACGTTTTGAGATGGGGTGGGGCTCTGCTTCCCCACCTCCCCCTCTTCTCCTCCCAACCTGACCCATGCCCAGGGTCCAGTCCGACCTCCCCTCCCTGCCCTGAGTGTGTGGATCAGGTACTCCCCCACGCTCCCTGTGTCCCTGGGAGCAGGATCTCCCTCTCATCCTACTTCCTCCTCCCTTTTCTTCTCCCCCTCAGTGTTGTCTGAATAAAGTGAACTTTTTGTGTTTTCTAAACTGACATTTTCAATGAAAAAAAACTACAAAAAAACCAATATAAAGTGTCAGCCTCATTTGTGCGTCACTCCTTTTCGTGGGAGCTCGGGACCTCAGCCCGTCCTCCTCTTCACTTCTGAGACCTACAGATCTTCCTCCAAGGGAGCCTCAGAGCTCCCCTTCCAGGATCTGCTGTGGTCCCCTCCACCGAGGGCTTTAGATCCCTCATCCCCCAGCAATCGCCAGCTCCTCCCTGGGGACTTTGCCTTCAACCTCGCCAGCCCTTGAGATGTCATTTACCAACATCTTGGGATCCACTAATTACCTCCCAACTGTTCCTGGATTCCCGTTTCCGTGCTGTGATTTCCTGATTTAACCTCTGCCCCACTAATCCCGAGGACCTCTCAGGAGGAGCCCTTACCTCCACTGAGAGGCCAACACAGTCTGTTACTCTACTCCACAGGCTCCCTTTTGCTCTTCAATTTGGTCTTTTCACTCCTTATTTCTCTCTGGTCCACGTGTCTTATATTTAAATCTCAAGGTACCTGCTCCACCAAATTCTTTTTTGCCAGTGTAAGAGTTTTATGACATGATTTTAATCTCATTTAGTCATGTAGTTAACACATTACCCCAGCTAGAAAGAATAAAGCAATAAATCAGGACCATCACTGAAAATCTTGGGGCATAAAATGAACTCCCTCCCCTTTTCTGGGGCATGGCTTAGATCAGACCCCCTTAGGGATGCTCATCACCCCCTTCCCACTGTTCCGTGCTGTGGCTCTTACTCCTTCCTCCATCACTCCACACCTACCCATCTCCTATCCCGTAGCCTCTCCCCATCATGTCCCTTTCTCCTACAGGGGAACTCCCCCAGGGCTGGTAGCCCAGAGCTGCTGCTACAGCCGCCACGGGGGCCCGAATCCCTCGTCCCCCGGTGCAGGTGAGTATTCACTCCTCCTCACCCTTGAGCAGGCCGCATCCATTTGGACTCCCGCCTGCCCACGTGCACGCCTGCTGTCTCCACAGGCCACCGGGACTCAAAGCAGGGGGAACCAGACTTAGAGAGTGGGTGAGCCCGAAACCCCTCCCCGCACACCTCCACCTTCCGACTCCCTCCCGCACGCGCTCAGCCACTTCCTCTGGCTCCGAAGCTGCACTGTGAACTAGCTCCTCCCTCAATCCCTACCTAAGCGCCACCTAAGCCCCCTACCGGGCTCGGCCCTGGTGCCTCCCTCTGGCATTCTCGGAAGGGCCTTAGGCTTGGACTTCGTGTTAATGGCTCCAGCCTCAGACCCGTCATGAGTCCTCTACCGCAAAGCTTGGCACCTGAGACCTGGAGTTCTACCCTGGCGCCGCTGTGACCGCCTCCCACCTCCCTACCCAGCAGGTCCGCCCGCGCGGAGCAGCTCTCGGGCCGGGCCGGGTCCGGGGAGGAGGCCGCGCGCACAGCCCCGCCGGGCCCGCCCTGGGCAGGGGGTGGGGCCGCGCTCAGCGCCAGGTTCCTGCGCAGTCCGCAGCAGCAGCGCCGCAGCACGCGGCCGTGGTGAGCACGCATGAGCACGCACGCCCACGCCCGCCGGCTCGCCCCGCTCCCCCCCACCCCCCACGGGACTCCGCCGAGCCCAGCCCTCGCGAGGGCTTACCCACCCACGCACCCACTCAACAGGCTCTTGCATCCGCGGCAAGTCGTTTGTATCTTTTCTTTTTAACCAGAGCAATAAAAGTATTTATTTTTATCACGACAACTACTGAAGAACCTGTCATTATTTCAACCTCGCATCCCTTATTTTCTCCAACTCAGCCACACCTTCCTTAGCGGCTGCGCGAGTGCCACAGGTGCGCCCCGGGCTGGCCGCTAAGTTACGGCGCAAGCGCCCTGAGGCAGTCTGGCCAGGCGGGCGGGCGAGCGCAGGCGCACTCGCGGCGCACCGAGCGCCTCAGCCACCTCCCTGGAGCCCGCAGTGCGCAAGCGCGCAACATCTCCGCTGCCCCTCAGCCCCTTCCCCCCCCCTCCTGTCCCCTCCACGAAGCCGGCTGTGGGGCGCGCTCACCCCTGTGAGGAGGTCAGAAGCCGGGCTCGGGAGGCGCCGGCTCCACTCCCGCAAGGTCATGTACCACCCGAGCCGGGGGGCGGCCCGGCCTCTCAGGCCCTGCCTCCGCGCGTACCAGGCTCGACCCCAGGTGAGCGCGGAGAAGGGGGCGGGGAGAGACCCTCAGAGCTGGCGCGTGGGGCGGAGCGCGCCGGGCTCTGCGCAGGCGCCCTGGCGTCTGCCGCGTCCTCTCACCTGTGCGCCGCGGCGCGTGGCGCGAGCTGGGGTCACCCGGTCGGAAGGCGGCGCTGGCTGCAGGCGGCCGGGGCTGTTGGCTCTCCGCGATTACCCGTGTCCGGAGGTGACTTGAAGGGCAGGGCAGGGCAGGGCAGGGCAGGGCAGGGCAGGGCAGGGCGGATCCCTCGCGCGGCAGAGGCCACGCCCCGGGTGCCCGCCAGCCCGCCCGCGCGAGACCGGCGGCCGGGAGCGGGAGCTCTGCTGCCTCGGGCGACCTCCTCCTGGCGCAGCGACGAGCCTTCCGTTCCCCTGCTGCTCTCGGGTCGCCAGCCTGGTCTGCAGCCGCGACCTCAGCCTCCAGAGTGGGAGGACACGTTAGCGGAGGCAGCGGAGGCGCAGGGCGCGAGCGCGCCCGGGCACAGAGCAGCGGCGACTCGGCCCTGGCCTCGCCTTGGTTTCTCCCCGCCCGTGGCCGCGTGGGCCTCGCAGGTCGCGGAGACGCGGTGCAGACCGCGTTGTTTCATCCCCTGCGGTCGTTACAAGTGCATGCTTACGATGCTTGCTGTGAGGTCAAACGGGCCCGAGCACGGCTGGAGCTTAAACGTAAAGGTGCTTGGTAACGTTCGAGGGAGCTACCCGCTTACATCTATTTCCCATCGGACTTTACTCCCCGTTCCAGGGCCGTGGCGATGAATCTCTCCCTTTTTCCCCCCTGGTAATTCTCTTCTGTCAGGAGGAGTTGGCGGGGTTGAAAGCCTGCTAATGAGCAGAGAACTTGGATGAAGGAGCATTGGACACCGGGATTCTTACCTTTTTCCTTTTTGTTCTGTCTCTAGGACCAGTTTTCCCCACGGACCCTGCCTTTCCCACTCCTTTGGCCCCACTCCACGACAGCCACTTCTCCATCATCCCCTCTTCTCTGGTCCCCCCCACCCCCATGTTCCCCAGTCCGCTGCCTTCCCATCCGGCCTCTTCCCCGGCCTTCCCCACTGCCTCTCCCCCAGGTCCAGGCGCTCACCTCCCCCTGGCTGGTTATCCCACCAGGAAAGGGGGAAGAGGGACCGGGACCTGAGCTGTACAGCGGCTGCCTGGATGGACTTAGGAGCCTTTTTGAGGGAGCCCCCTGCCCCTGTCCTGGGGCTCTGATACCTTTCCAAGCCCCTGAGACGCCCCACCCTTCCCCTGCCACCCCATCAGGAGATCCTAATATGGAGGAATACCTGGCTGTCATGTATGAGAGACTGAGACAAGAGGTGAGTTACTACAGGATTGGCCGAGGATATCGGTAATCCTTGGTAATATCTTAAGTCAACTGGAATCTCTTAGAAGCAGGAAGTGGGCCTAGAACTGTGCTGTAAATTTTTCCTGAGGGAAAAGATGCTTCTGATTTCAATTAAGAGAAGCTAAAGATAGGACGATGTGACCATTAACTCAGAGGGTGATAAGGAGGCCTAAAAGTAGAGTGAGATATAGGATCATCTTTCCCTTCCAACGGAGTTGATGCCATCTCCTCCCTTCTAGCTTCCCAATCTCTTCCTTCACTCCCACGACTATACTCTGTATTCATCGGACGTGGAATTCATCAATGAGATCCTGAACATCCGCACCAAGTGAGAACTGGGGCACCAGTAGGGCCTTGGGGGAACAAGAGAACTCAGTGCTGTGCACTCGACCCTTTTCACTTCTGAGGTCCTACGCTGCTTCACACACCTGTTCCCCATTCTTCAGACAGAAGCCAGTTTGGTTTTCTGATTCTGCCATTACAAGATTTCTTTCCCATCCCTTCTTCAGGGGCCGGGCATGGTACATTCTGTCACTGACTCTCTGCCGATTCCTGGCCTGGAACTACTTTGCACAACTCCGGCTGGAGGTTCTCCAGCTGACCAGACACCCGGAGAATTGGACATTGCAGGCCCGGTGGCGACTCATAGGGCTCCCCCTCTATATGCTCTTCATGCGTTTCTACAAGCGTGACAAAGAGGAGCTTTACCGGTAAGAAGTGGGAAAGGACCTTAGGCTATGCAGAAAGACCTTGTCTTAGGAACACCAGAACTTAGTGAAAGGGCCCACACTGCAGTGGCTTCCCCAGTCCTGCCCTGTGGGACTCTGATGATCTCACCTGCCAAACAATCCTGGACCTCCCCTGACTTTGAGCATAGGGATCTTGTTTTAGTCTACTTTAACAAGAATAGGGATTTGGGGATAGAGAACTCTGAACTTAGTTTCTTCATGCACTTTTACCTGGCATGTGGCAGATGCTCAAACATTTACTGAATAAAGTTGCCGTCTCCTGAATTGAGTGAAAGCTTAAGTAACTGGTAAACGTCTGGCTGGTAGAATCTCAAGAAAGTACTAGGTTTAGCTTCTGACATGGTATGTAAGTATTTAAACCACCAGTCCCCAAACTGCTACACACTGGGATCACCTGCAGATCTTTAAAAGATACAGGTGCACTCTGCTTTAGTTGCTTAGGGTACACCTTGAACAGGGATTCTTCAGAAGTCCCCAGGTGACTAATACATAGCAAAGTTTAGGAACTTCTCCTTGAAACGGAAACTTATGCTTTGGGTAAGCCTTTGGCTCCCTTCCCCAGGACCTACGACGCCTATTCCACCTTCTACCTGAATTCCAAAGGCCTCATCTGTCGACATCACCTGGACAAAGTGAGTCTCCGGCGTGAGAGGAGCGGGAGAATGTCGGTGCGCCTCGCCCTGACCGGCACTAACTTTCTCCCCACAGCTGATGCCCTCGCACTCACCACCCTCACCTGTGAAGAAACTGCTGGTAGGAGCCCTGGTAACCCTGGGGCTGTCGGAACCAGAACCCAGCTTGGAGGCTTGCTCCAAGGCCTGAGCCAGGAACTGGGTGGGAGCAGCACTGAAGATTCTGCTACGCACAAGAGAAGGTGGAGGCAGCCAAGACTCCACGTCCAGCAGCCTCCCCCTTCTCGCTAACGTCTACCTTTCCATCTCATGCTGTGTCATTTAACTTGTACATCATAAAGTTGAACTGTTAGGAGATGGAATTTCATGTGGTGCTTTCTCTGGATCCCAAAAGGTCCCAGAAACTTTGTTCCAAAAATAATTTTATTTAGGCCGGGGATTTATCTCAGTGGTTTTGCCACCTGCTGCGCAAGCACAAGGACCCGAATTTGATCCCCAGTACCAAAAACAAAAATAATTTTATTTAACAGATATTAAAATAATGTATAGAAAGAGAAGGAGGAACTGCTGTTGGGTTCCATTCACGTCCCCTTCTCTACCCTAGCTCTTCTCGGGTCTTGCCTACTTTTTTGGGCATTTTCTTAGCATGGGGATCTTCTAGCTCCTTAGCCTTATAATAGTGAGGAGCCACTTCCAGAAGCCAGCTGCTCTCGATCTCCAACACCTACGAGAGAGATCAGTAAGGTTCCCTTCTTTGCCAACATCGACTCAGGTGTGTAGTCAAAGAAAGGCTCTCTCTTCCCCAACTTTGGGGCCCAGAAAAGGTGGCTGGTCCTATTACAGGCCCTGAGGGAAGACATGCCTCTTCCTGTTTCCACAACAAGGAAGCCAGCCCTGAGAAAAGCCAGGATGAGGAGACAAGCCCACTCTGTGAAGACAGACTCCACCTGCTGTTCACCATAAAAGCCCGGCACCTTAAACACCCGGACTCTGGATAACCAGATAACACTGAATGAACAGCAGTTCTCAAATCTTGGAAGAGACCAAGACAAGCTGGCAGCAAGGATGTCCATTTGATCCTACATTAAACTAGTGACTTCTGGTTTCTTTATCAGCCCTGGCAATCAACTTACATTCTTCGGCTGCCTGCACACTGCCTCCAGTCTCTACCTACCTGGGGGGCCACTGTCCCTCACCTGTCGCATGAACTCCTTCGTGGTCAGGACAAGTTCATGGTAGAGCAGCCAGCGTGGCTGCTGCTCAAAGAGGGAAGAGTTCGGGTGAATGAACACTGTCTGCTGCTGTTTGACTGTGCGGTAGCCGCTGCGTGTCAGCCTCGCTGTGTGGTAGAAGTACCCAGCAGTGATGGCCTAAGGAGCAAGCAGGCAGGTCAACGGCAAAGGTGGACATCGGGACCTCAGACTTGTACTTCAGGCTTCTGGAAAGCCAGAAAGGTGAGCAATGCCTGAACAACACACTGAGAACATGGGTCAGGATTTAGATCAGTGGCACCGTGCCTGCCTTGCAAGCACAAGGTCCAGAGTTCGATCCCTGGTACCAAAACCCCCCACTAAGAACAGATATCACTGGTGGGAGAAAAGCACTAGAGAGCACATCTTCCACCCTGAAGAGCCCCAGCTGGGACAGTGCTGCTCACACGCACGAAAGAGAAGCTGCTCATCAGGGGAAGCAGTGCTGACCTTGCGCACACGGATGTGGTCCCCCTGGCAGGAGCTGAGCCCCACCTCCACACGCTCCAGGAGCCCCTCTAGCTGCTCCCGCACATCCCGGGCTCGGCGCATGGAGCGGAACTGTACAAAGTTCTCATAGCACCACTGGGAAGAGTAGCCACTCTCGGCCCACTGGGAAGAGAGCGTAAGAGAAAGGAGGGGCCTTGAGTGTGCAACAGGACTGCTCTCCCCCACATCACCCACATTCCCACTGGCCAACCCCACGGACCTGCGTGTACACGTTCAACAGAACCAGGTGGTCGCCGCCAGGGAGGAAGAAGTTGACACGGGCATTGTCGGCGTGAACGACCTTATCCTTGGGTCGGTAGAAGATGGAGTTGTTGACAGAGAGCATGGCGGCCACTGTCAGGATCTCCTCTGAACAGCTGTACCTGGGTGGGAAAGGCAGAGGATGAGCACAAAGCGAGACACCTAGGAGCAGAGACACCAGAGGGGAAGGGGTCCCTCTGGCGTCTCCTGTGAGAAGCTGGTGGGAGGTGGCTGCACTCAGCCACCACAGATTCTGCTGGGCGAAGCAGCAGGCCATGGGCCAGCAGGGGGGCCACAGACCAACCCTGTCACACAGGAGGGCAGGGCAGAGGCGCTAGGGCCCTTGCTGGGCTGCAGCAGGGACGTGTGCCCATGAAGAGCTGAGCCTAGGTGCAGTGCAAGAATGGCATTCAGGTCTCCACAGCCACAGCAAATGTGTCCCTCCGAAACCCCATGAGGGAGCAAGTTCCCAAGGCAGCCGCGCTCAGCACCCTTCACACATGGAGTCCTCCACTGCCATCCACAGCCTGGGTGGGACAGTGTTTCACAGATCCTTGAAAAGGGGACTTAACAGTTTGGTTTCTCTTTTGTAGTAATAGCCCCTTCTTCTTGAGCTACATCCCCAGCCATTTTATTTTTTCATTTTATCTATTTTTTTTTTTTTGGTACTGGGGATCAAATTCGGGTCCTTTTGCTTGCGCAGCAGGTGGCGAAACCACTGAGCTAAATCTCCAGCCCAATTTTATCTATTTTTTTTGAGACTGTCTCACTAAGTTGCCCAGGCTGGCCTTGAACTTGCAATCTTCCTGCCTCAGCCTACCAAGCAGCTGGGATTCAGGTGTGCACCATCATACCTGGCAACTACTCTTGGATAACTTGTTTTTGCTTTGTTTCTATGGAATTGGGATTGAACCCAGCACCTTCACCTTGAGCTGAAGACCCAGCCTTCTCTTTTTTTGTTTTCTTTTTTTTTGGTACTGGGGTTCGAACTCGGGTCCTTGGGCTTGTGCAGCAGGCGGCAAAACCACTGAGCTAAATCCCCAGCCCTCTCGGTTATGTTTTTGAGACAGGGGCTTACTAAGTCACTAAGTTGCCCAAATTGGGCTTAAACTTGCAATCCTGCTGCCTCAGTCTCCGAGAGCGCTAGGATTACAGGTGTGTACCAACACATCTTGCTTAATATGTTCAGGACAGGACTATAATTCATGTCTCACTGCTGGGCAGCTTGAACCACCAGTGGTACATGATGCATGACTGTCGCACTGGGTGACTTTTATTAATTTTATTAATATGAAGACCAATAAAAATGATTAGGTTCATTCATACCGCAAGTGGTACAAACCTCCCAGTGGGATACTCAGCGTGTGTACCACCAGTGGTTTGAGCTGTTAGGAATGTGTTAGCAACTTATTTCTTAGAGAATATTATGAAGGCCAGTTCACATGCTGGGGGCTCGGGTGGTGGCAGAGCTTACTTCTCTGAGGCCAAGATCATTTTAGACAGCATGGGGTCCACTGGCAGCTCTGCCATCTTCCGCCCAGACTGAGGAGAGGAAACAGAAGGGTGAGGCCAGTTCGCCCCTGGTCCCCCTGCCCTCATGATAGGGGTCCTGGAGGCCCTCACCGTGGTCAGCTCCCCGAGGTGGTTGAGGGCTCCCAGGGCGTACAGCTGCTCCAGAGCCAGCAGCAGGGTCTCGTATGGCGGGGGGTCCAGGAAATCAAAGTGCATTAGATCATGGATCCCTGCCGAAGTGGGAGTGACAGGTGAGCCCTGGGCAGGACCAGAGAGCCCCAGCCCATCCCAGGACACGCGGGTCACCCAATCACCCAAGCTCTTGAGCAGCAGCACGACGTTGCCCAGGCTGGTCCTCTGGATCTCGGGCACCGTGGTCTCCTCCAGCTCGTGCTGATAGGCCCAGGCCGTGTACAGGCGGAAGCACTTCCCTGCAGCCACTCGGCCCGCCCGGCCAGCCCGCTGGTTGGCAGAGGCCTGGAAAGACAGGAGGTAGCTGGCTAAGGCCTAACCAGGGGCGAGGGAAAAGGCAGTGTCTATGTACAGACTCCAGGAGGATCCAGCTGCCTCCACACTGGACCTGCTGTGGACACCAGACTCACTTTGCTGCAGGGCGTGACCGTGAGCGACTCCATGCCTGTGCGCGGGTTGTAGCTGTTCTGCTTGCAGAAGCCTGGGTCCAGCACGTAAATGATGCCCTCAATGGTGAGCGATGTCTCAGCAATGTTTGTTGCCACAACTACCTGAGGGAGAGGACTCGGGGTCACCCAGAGTCCCTCCCACTGGGTAACCCTGGAGAGCAGGCAGTTACGGGTAGAGGCTGAGGGAATGGGAGTCTGAGGTCAGGAGAGGGGACCAGGCTTGCAGAAGAGAGACGATGGGGGTGGCAGTCTGCAGAAGGACCACAGAGAGAGGGTTCGGATCCCCCCACCCCGCAACGGGAAATGGGGGTCTTCCCCACCAGCCTTCTATTCATCTTCACACCTCACTTCCCGTCAGTCTCCTGACAAATGTCCCTATCTCTCCTCCTAGCCCTTGTCACATGGCATCCAGAACAGTCCCTTCAGAATATAAAGCTGGCACCTCACTGCCCAGTCCTTCAGTGGCTTCCCACAGCTCTGGAATTAAATCCAAGCCTGCAAAGCCTGACTCACTGGGCTCTGGCAGCCTTTCTGCTCTCATCGCCTAGCACCAGGGCCCTCCACCTTGCTCCGCTCAAGCGTGCCTGGCCCCTCTGGACTTCTGCAGAGCTCCCCCTAGCACCACACACGATGTGTGATTCCATTCTTTTTTTTTTTTTTTTTGGTACTGGAGATCGAACTCAGGTCCTTGCGCTTGCGCAGCAGGCAGCGAAACCACTGAGCTAAATCCCCAGCCCTAACGCATGATGTGTGTGCACATCTGTCCTCCCCTGGCAGATAGCCAGCTCTGTGCCCACAGGGACTTCCTTGATCATCATGGAATCTGCATGCCCACCAACACTGGGCACCAGGAAGACCACACGTGCTGCTTCCCAGTGCTGAGGTTGGAGTCTGCTAGGCAAGCGCTCCACCACTGACTGACACTCCCCGCCCTTCATTAAATATTTGTTGAGCGCAAGTCCCACCTCTGCTCAAAATCCTCTGATGGCCATCCGGCTCCACTGAAGCGCGAACCCTCCTGCCAGCATCAGAGGTCCTGCTTCACCTCAGTCCAGGGACCTAGCCCGGCCACTGCAGCACGGCGCACCTTGGAACCCACCGCTCCACCCTGACCGCAGAAGCTCCTGGGCCTGCCTCTGTCCCCCCACAATGTTCCCATATAAACCCCACCTCTGGGCTGCATCTCTACAGTGCTGCTCCTCCAGGTGC